GGAGAGGACAACCCGCCAGCAGCCACACGCCCTGCGAGGCTGTGGGGGTCAGAGCGGCACGGGGTCTCTGGCGGATGGAACAATGGGGGCCTCAGGCCGCAGCAGGTCCTCACCACAGAGCCTGGCCAGGACAAGGGGAGAAGACCCTGAACTGGGCCGATGGTGACCAGCAGAAGGTGGGTGCAGGGACTGCCCCAAGTGGGTCCCCATGCACCCCAGGACCCACCCGCCAGGCCCCTCCCAAACAGGGCCTCACCACACAGGCAGTGGGGAGTGGGCAGCAGGGACATCAGAGACCGGAAAGACAAAAGCAGGGAGAGTGACAGGCGGGAAACCTCAGGAAGCAAACCTCCCTGTTGTACACGACATGCACACGCATACACGCATACCCACCGGCAGGCGAGTTCCCGCACACGGGTGAGCCTACTGAGGAAAGTGCCCCAAACCAGCCTCTTAGAAGCTCAAGAAAGTAATTTCACAGGGGCGCCTGGGTGGCTCAGATGGTTAAGCGTCTGCCTTCGGCTCAGGTCATGATCCCAGGACCCTGGGATCGAGTCCCGCATCGGGCTCCCTGCTAGGCAGGGAGCCTGCTTCTCCCTCTGCCTCTCTCTCTCTCTCTCTGACTCTCATGAATAAATAAATAAAACATTAAAAAAAAAAGAAAGTAATTTCACATAAAAATGAGCGAGCAAAAACCATGATACCTTATTCTAAGAAAAAACGATGATGCAGATTGTCACCCCAGGAAAGCAACACCTTCCATTTCAAACAGGCGAAGAGATCAAGAAATGACAAGACACAGGGAGAACAGCACGCACACAACAGAGAGACTCGGGAGGAGAGGACAAAGCTCAGGAACCAGAAATGGAAGAAACTGGTTCAGAAATAGCTAAGTTAAAAGGAGGACCCAGCAAAGAGGCTCGACAGACAGCGGCCTGAGAGAAAGAGGTGGACAGGGAGGGCAACTCTTCCGGTAAAGAGACAGTGAGGAGCTGCAAGGGCTGGAGAGGAAGGGCGCGTCTGGAGGGCTCAGTCCTGTCAGGGGGAGAAAGGAGAGCTGCGGGCAGGGCGAGAGCCCTTCTGGAGGAAGACCAGGAAGGGTTTGGGCGAGGGCACACTGGTCCTGCAGGGCCAGCACTCAGGCATCGTCAGCAGCAACCGCCGGGCCTCGAGGAGAAAGAAAAACAATCCTGGGGGCGTCCTGGGCAGGGCAGTCAGAGCACTGTCAGAGGACTGAGTCCGCAGCTGGGACCAGAAGAGAGTGGGAGGACACACATAAGACATTCAAGGAAGGAAGCACTTGAGCCAAGACCTTATGCCCAGGCCTGCTCGAGCACGCAGGGCCGGGGCCTCCCAGCAGGTGCACGCGGAGGGCGGCGGCACCGTCCCCCGGGCCAGCGGCACCTGGTCGGTGTGCGCAGCGAACACGCAGACCGCTGCTCAGAAAGAGCATGTAACCTTTACAAACAATCCTCAGCATCTACATAGGTGGCAGAAGAAAGGAAATACGGTTGTCATACAGAAAACCTTAAGTTAAAAAAAGTCCTGCAGTCCTGCATTTGAATGAGAAGCACTAGCATGAAGCTGTGTTTACCGAAAAATCTAGAAATAGTGGCCAGGTCGGTATTCAAGAGCACGCTACTGGCGGCATTCTGGTCAGTAAAAGAAACCAGGGCCGCCTGCAGAAATGGCCAGCCTCAGGTCTGGGGCAGGAAACAAAGATGTTGAGCCACAAGCAGCCTGTCCTGGTGGATAGGGAGGCAACAGCCACACACTCCCGGTCACATCGAGGACGCCGGGGCCGACCCGCAAGGGCTCCCCGCCCGCTCCCCCGGCCACAGGCGGAATAATTCTCTCTGAGCTTCAGCTGAAACCTTCACCTGTGATTCAGTCCATGAGTTCACAGTGATAGGACAAAAATACACGCTGATGGATCCAAAGGATGCCAGGCAGTCTGTTATTTTGACACGGGAGAAAGGCACAGAAGCAAACATTTATCCTGCCGTCCCTAGATGAGCTGCAGCCGCTGGGAGCAAGGCATCTCTTTGTTAAGAGTCTTCTACGTAATACAAGAAAGAACCACAGAGTTGGCCACGGCGGGTGGACAGATGTGGGCAGTGAGTTGCATAAGCAGCGTTGAGCGTCCCAAACAAAAGACGACCAGAGGCAGGGTCTGATCCAGACAGCCCTCACCGCCTACAGTCTCCCCGAAGGCTGGAAGGTGAGTGTGTGTCGACCCGGGACACCCCCAGGTGCACACCAGCACCGTTGGGCAGCAGACTGGCCACCTTAGGGGTGTCAGAGCCAGTAACATTTTACCCGTTTTTCTTAGTTGTCCTAACATAATTAAAAATAAAAACACTCCTCATCCTGTTAAATAAACCAGAGGCTGGCAGTCCAGGCCCTGTTAGCCCAGATGGAGGGCGGGTGATTTTGGAAGGGACCTGGGACCCCCAGCCCTCCCATACGCCTGTCGCTCTTTCTCAGATGGCCCCTCTGAGGGCCATGCACACCTCAGAAGCCGCCCCCGTACACCACGCTGCCTCCCCTGGCAGGCTCCTGACCCTGCCACAGTGGAAACGGCAGTGAAGATGGAATTCCTCCAGGTGTGTAAGTCTGTACCGCTGAGAACAGAGCTGCGATATATCAGACAAAAATAAAGCAGAGGTGGGGGCGCCTGGGTGGCTCAGTTGGTTGGGCGACTGCCTTCGGCTCAGGTCATGATCCTGGAGTCCCTGGATCGAGTCCTGCATCGGGCTCCCTGCTCGGCAGGGAGTCTGCTTCTCCCTCTGACCCTCCCCTGTCTCATGTGCTCTCTCTCTCAAATAAATAAATAAAATCTTAAAAAATAAATAAATAAATAAAGCGGAGGTGGAAAGTGTCCTCAGACAGCCAGTCCACAGCCTGATGTCATGAGACAGCACCACACACACGAGGACGCTCCAGCCAACCAACCGTTACAGTGACCTTGACCAAAATCACACCATCTCCTACCTAAGGTGACACTCTAGCCTTGTAATCTGGCTTAAGACTCTGTGACCACCAGGTGACCTGTCCTCAGGGCACGCTGTGGCCACTCTCTGAGAGAGCAAGAAAGCTTCTCCCATCCATACGGAACAAATGATGGGGCACGTCACTCTCAAGGGTTCCAACCATGACATGACCACATGAAGCAAACGACCAGAGGAATCACCACGGTTTTGGTTGGTTGTTGCTTTCAAAAAATGAAGTGAAGGCATTTGTACAGAAACAGAACTGTGACTCTTTTAGGAGTTTAAAAATTGTGATATATTTTGCTCATACAACATATAAGCATAGTATGAAACAAGGAAATTGAGACTAACAAACTACAAGATGTGAGCAAACTGGGAAGTACCTTCGCCCAGAACCTGTTGAAAGGTGGGTCCTGAGTGTCCTGAGAACGTGGAGACCACACACCAGGCCAGACAAGCACAGAGCACAGGGCAGTTCTCCCCTACCTCCACCCCCCAGCCCCCCTCCCCCTCTGGAACAGAAGAACCTGCCCCCACCCGCCCCCCCCCCAGCTCTGGGACAGAAGAACCTGCCCCCACCCCGACCCCCTGCTCTGGGACAGAAGAACCTGCCCCCACCCCGACCCCCTGCTCTGGGACAGAAGAACCTGCCCCCACCCCGCCCAGCTCTGGGACAGAAGAACCTGCCCTCACCCCAGCCCCCAGCTCTGGGACAGAAGAGCCTGCCCCCACCCCCCCCAGCTCCCGGACAGAAGAGCCTGCCCCCGCCCCCACCCCCACCCCCTGCTCTGGGACAGAAGAACCTGCCCCCACCCCCACCCCCAGCTCTGGGACAGAAGAACCTGCCCCCACCCCCCCCCCCAGCTCTGGGACAGAAGAACTTGCCCACCCCCTGCTCTGGGACAGAAGAGCCTGCCCCACCCCCAACCCCCTGCTCTGGGACAGAAGAACCTGCCCACCCCCCCACCCCACCCCCTGCTCTGGGACAGAAGAACCTGCCCCCACCCCCACCCCCACCCCCTGCTCTGGGACAGAAGAACCTGCCCCCACCCCCACCCCTGCTCTGGGACAGAAGAGCCTGCCCCCTCAATGTGCACCTGCATTTGATATGCTGACAGGAGAAGGAAAGGAAGAATGTCAGAGACAGAAGGGATAAGAATATTTACTGCTCACACACACCTGCAAACATGCATGAGCGAAATCAGGCCCTGAAATCAGCTGTTTGCAGTGGATTTTTCTATCTACGGATTTCAAGCCCCTTTTGGTTTCCTATCTAAATTTGCTTACTTTATAATACTGCTTTATGTTTAAGAGCTCTTCCTCAAAACCTTCTAATACACCTGTTTAATCTCTATTTAAAGACCATGTAAGTCCCTGCTCCAAACTTGTAAGACATTTTACTGAACTAACCATATCTGTTACATTAAACAGAAATAAATTATATAGTACTCAGGAGGAAAAACAAATGAAAACAAGCAGAATAAAACCCTCAAAGAAACCAAAACTCAGACTGAAAATTTAAGTTAGGAATTTTCCAAATGTACGTATGTAGTAATAAACAAGTTATGTTATGGCAAAATTGTACAACTCTGAAAGAAGTACTAGAATGTGATCCAAGGCACGTCAGAATTGTCTCCCAGGACAGGACTCATGTCACCTGGCTGGTCCCAGCAATACCATTTGCCGACCACACACCTGGCTGGTAACACTGTTGACACTGATTGTTGGCTTCTCTGACCCACGAGTCAACTGGACAAAACATGACAGAACAGGGAGCATTTGCATATTAGTTTACATTTTGAAATTTAAATATTTAAACCCAGAGCTGGAGAGTGACTACCAAATGCTGGTGATAGAGGGCGGCCGGCCCGCGAGCGGCGCAGTGCAACCCGCGGAGAAAGGACCGCTCAGGAGGAACTGCCGCGGCAGGACCGTCACCTGGCTGGTTGTACCCACTGTCAGTCTCATGAAGATGTGGCTTCCTACGAATGTGGATTTTACGCTCACCTAAACCCTTCTGCCCGGGGTTCTTAGCGAAGGTAAAGGTAAACTGATAAAAATCCTTAAACTTCACCGTGTCCTTCAGTTCCTGCTCCAGTCTTGGCAGAAGGGCTCTCAGCTTCTCCGTGCTGTCACACCTGCAATGAGAGACAGCGCTGTGGTGGTGGGAGACATGCCTCCCCGCCCGCCCGGCAGCTCCCTGGTGCCCGCGGGCTGCAGCGGCCTGACGCTCGGGTGACGCTCGGGTCCCAGGAGGCAGACAGCTTGTGGGCCCCCTGCCCTGGCTAAAAGGACTGACGTCCCAGAACTGATTGTGGTGATGGCCGCACTGCTCTGCGAAGACACCAAAACCACCGACCTGTAGACTTTAAGTGGGCGAACTCTACAGTACATGAATTATATCTTAATAAAAAAAAGAAGAAAAGGAAAAAACAAAACCCACAATTGCTTGACTTCCTCTGTATGAGTTGGAATACAGACACACTTTCACCCACACACAGGCCAGGGCCCTGGGATGACAGTCGGGCAAGTCAGAAAGACCCCATCTCCTCAGCCACCTCGTGGAGCCGAGCCACTCTGCCAGCTCCCCATCTTGGGGTCTCTTCCTACGGAAGAGTTAAGGCTAGAGTTAAAAAATCCAAGTATGATAAAACGCAACTTCACTGCTTTATATTTGGGTTTTCTGGATGGGGGAGGGGGACACAGGTGAGGGGATTGAGCGCACTTATCAGGATGAGCACTGAGTCATGTACAGAACTGTTGAATCACTATGTGGTTCACCTGAAACTAATACAACAATACGTTAATTATACTGGAGTTTTAAAAATAAATAAATTTAAAGTAAATAAATAAATAATAAAATTGGATTTTCCTCCAAAAAGTCAACAACCTTTAAGAATACTAAAAAGCCTTGGGACTCCTGGGTGGCTCAGTTGGTTAAGGCCTGCCTTCGGCTCAGGTCATGATCCCAGAGTCCTGGCATCAATTCCCACATCGGGCTCCCTGCTCAGCGGGAAGCCTGCTTTCTCCCTCTCCCTCTGCCCCTCCCCCTGCTTGTGCTTCCTCTCTCTCAAATAGATAAAATCTTCAAAAAAAATTAAGAAAGAATATGAAAACTCCTTCAAAGCAGAAATCTAGAATAGCAAAACATAAAATCTGTCTTTTTTACTTCGACTACCCAGCAAGGAAAAGAATAACAGGCACGCTTCACAGTCAGCAGGGCTTTGGAGAGAGCAGAACACCATGCATCAGCAGCCACAAGCCCAGGAGGCACAGCCCTACAGCTCTAGGGACCCACACCGAGGGTGGTCGGGGGCAGCGCCTTCCCCACCACTGGCCTTCCCTCTATGGGGCCACTGCGGGCCCTCCTGTGTGCCTGCATCACCCCCGAACGAGCACTCCCTGACAGTCGGCTACCTCAACTCGGAACTTTCTTCATGGGAACTCATGGTGTTATTTCTGTGTTGAGTCTGTGAGGTTCACTATGCTGACTCAGTGGAGTCATTTTCTGTGTCAAGGAGCATTCCCCTGTGTTCATACTTCCTAACTTATATATCCCACCGATGGTAACTATTCTGGCTGTTTCTGTTTTCTGGTAACAAAGAAGGTTGTTAAAAAGGTTCCTGTACAGGGGCGCCTGGGTGGCTCAGTCGTTAAGCGTCTGCCTTCGGCTCGGGTCATGATCCCAGGGTCCTGGGATCAATTCCCACATCAGGCTCCCTGCTCGGCGGGAAGCCTGCTTCTCCCTCTCCCACTCCCCCTGCTTGTGTTCCCTCTCTCGCTGTGTCTGTCAAATAAATAAATAAAATTTTTAAAAAAAGGTTCCCATACATGTCTCCTGGCACACACATAAATGTGCTAGGTTAGGTGCAAGCCCAAGTGGGCCAGCTGGGTCACAGGGTCCACGAACCTTCAGTGATGTGGTATCAAACTGTTTTCCAAAGAGACTGTCTGCTTCACACCACCCCCAGCAGGAGAGCAGGGTTCCTTTTGCTCCCATTTTCACTGTCTTACCTTAGCCATTTCACAGAGACAGTTCACTGTAGTTTTAACCTGTACTTCCCCAGTGAACGAGACTGAACTTCTTGTATTTTGACTGGCTATTTGGAAATTCTCTTTTGTGAAGTGCCTGTTCAAGTCTCCTGTCCGGTTTCAACTAGGTAGCTTTTTCTTATTGTTTTCAGGCTTTCTTTACATATGAAGGACACAAGCCTTTGTCAGCTAAGCAGTTTTAAAGTACTCTCACCCAGAATGTGGACTGCCTTTTCACTCCCTTGGGGGTGTTTCTTGATGATCAGTTCTTATTCTTAGTATAATATTCTCTCAGTCTTCTTCTTCCCAGTGTTTGCTTGTGTTCAAATTTTCCCTACTGCATGGTCATAAAGATACCCTCCTGCGTGATTTTCCCAGAGGCTTCCAGCTCTTGCCTTTAGGCTTTCACACGGACATTGTGCACTGGGAACTGTTTTTTTATGTATGGTGTAAGGTAGGGATCAAGGTAAGTTTGTGACTAGCCAATGCTCACAGAACCATTTACTGAGAAGATGTCCTTTCCTCATTTCTCTGAAGTGCTGCACTGGCCAGAAGTCAAATGTACACGTGTACGTGCATTTGTTTCTTTTTTTTTTTTTTAAAGATTTTATTTATTTATTTGAGAGAATGAGAGAGAGAGCACATGAGAGGGGGGAGGGTCAGAGGGAGAAGCAGACTCCCTGCCGAGCAGGGAGCCCGATGCAGGACTCGATCCAGGGACTCCAGGATCATGACCTGAGCCGAAGGCAGTCGCCCAACCAACCGAGCCACCCAGGCGCCCCGTGCATTTGTTTCTTGCTCCCCATTCTGTCCCACTGGTCTATTTATCTCTGTAGTGGTGCCATGTAGTCTTAATTACTGCAGCTTGAAAAGTCCTAATTAGCTGGGAGAGCAAATCTTCCCACCTTGTTAAAAGCTGTTGACTATTCTTGACTGAATTTGCATATACATTTTAACTCCATTTGTCAAATTACACATATAAAACTACTACTTATTGGGGTTTTGATTGATATCACACCAAGTTCATAGACAAAGTTAGGGATAAAATACTGACTGTTCCAATCTATGAATGAGGTTTATGTCTCTATTTATTCAGATTTCCTGCCTCTCAATGAGTTATTTACTCTATGGAGGTAGCACACAACTTTAGATTTATCCGAGGTGTTTTGTATTTTTCATGCTACTGAAAATGGCGTATTTTTAAAATTCATTTTGCTTTGTTGTATTGTTGCATTCAGTATTCTGTAATAAGATTGATTCTTGTTTGCTGGTCTTCGGTCCTGCAGTCTGGCTGACCTCACTTATTGATTCCAATATCTTACCTGTGGATCAGACCAGGTAACACCTCCTGTTCAATGCTGAATAAAAGTAGGCATTCATGTTCCAATTAAGTATATATCCTGTAGGATTTGGCAGGAAAGGTGGGGGGCGGGTCAGCTTAAGGACTATCCCTGGTTTGTGGTACATTCTCTTTCAAAAAATTATGAATGAAATTGAGTTTCATTAAACCCATTTTATGGGTTTGAGATAATCCCCCCTTTTCTGTTGTTAATAAATTACACTGATTGACTTATTATAAACAAATCTCACAATCCTGGGCTATAACAAACTTTGTCATGATAAATTATCCTGATTTTTTCATTGATTTATCTTGGGGGCTGGATTTAGTTTGTTGATAATTTGTCTAAAATTTTTTCATCTTATGCATCTCTTGAATCTCATGACTGAAAGTGGCCAATAATTTTCCATTCTCAAAATATCCTTTTGTGCTTGCGTCAGCAGCACATTTACTGAAATGTCCTTTCTAGGTTTTGTTATCCAGGTTGTGTTGGCCTCAAAACAAATCAGAAAGTGTTTCTTCCTGTATGATTCTCTAAGAGGTTGTGTAAAGTTGGTGGCAGTCTCTTCATTAAATGTCCTGTAGGATGTGCTGGTACACCAATCCTGGCCAATTGTTTTCTTTTTGAAAAGATTTTAAATTATGGGTTCAAATTTAAGAGTTACAGAACTATTTATGTGTCCATTTCAGTAAATTGTATTTTTAAGAGAATTCCTCTCTTGCATCCGGGTTTTCACATTTACTAGCACAGAGTTGGTGGTAATATATTCTTATCTTTTAACATCCATAGGATCTACAGTGATGTCTCCCTTTTCATTCCATATTGGTTATTTGTTACTACTTTTGTAAATCTTTTCAAACAGCAAGCTTCTGGTGTTATGGATTTTTTCTATTAACTTCAGTTCTATTTCCTTAAATTACTGCCTGTTTAAAAAAAATAATTCCTGGGGCGCCTGGGTGGCTCAGTCGTTAAGCATCTGCCTTCGGCTCAGGTCATGATCCCAGGGTCCTGGGATGGAGCCCCGCATCGGGCTCTCTGCTCAGTGGGAAGCCTGCTTCTCCCTCTCCCACTCCCCCTGCTTGTGTTCCCTCTCTTGCTGTGTCTCTTGTCAAAAAATAAATAAAATCTTTAAAAAAAAATTAATTCCTTTCCTCTACACTCTTTGAGTTTAATTTCCTGCTCTTTTTCTACTTCTTGAGATGGATGCTCTCCTTAATGATTTTCAACTCTTCCTTCTAAAATATGCATTTAAGAAGTTGAATCCTGCAAGTTTTTATGTGTAGTGTTTTCTTCATGATTCAAAATATTTTCTAATATCCACTGTAACTTCTTACTCCCAAGGGTTTTCAGGAGTATACAATATCTACACATATTTCAAAAACCTATCAAGTCATTTTTGTTCTACCTTAATTGTATTGTGGTCAGAAAATATACTGTGTATCATTTCAATCCTTTGAAATTTGTTGCAACTTATTTTATGGTGCGGTTTATAGTCGATATTTATAAATGGTCTACTCTTCTTCTGTAAAGAGTATGTATTCTTCAACATCAAAGGCAATGTTCTAAGTACGTCCATTAGGCCATTTGTTGTGCTGTCCAAATCTCCTATTTCCTTACTGATTTTCCACCTGCTCATTCTATCAGTTGCTAAGATGTGTGTGAGAATTCCCCACTTTGATTGTAATTTCTATCTTTCTCTTGTAGTGTTTATTTTTGCTTTAAATATTTTTTTTTTTTTAAAGATTTTATTTATTTATTCATGAGAGACAGAGAAAGAGAGGCAGAGGGAGAAGCAGGCTCCCAAGGAGCAGAGAGCCCGATGCGGGACTCGATCCCAGGATCCTGGGATCATGACCTGAGCCGAAGGCAGACGCTCAACGATCTGAGCCACCCAGGAGCCCTATTTTTGCTTTACATAATCAATTGCCTTCCATGTGAAATAAACCCTTCCTCATTATGAAACGTCCTTCATTATCTCTAGAATTAGAACTTTTTGCCTTTAAAGCTTGTTTTAATATTGACATAGCCACACCAAATTTTTTTGGTTAAATGTTTGCCAATTACATCAACTTTTATTCTTCAAATTGTTCTGTGCCCTTATGTTTTAATCGTATCTATTGTAAGCAGTATACACAATAGTTGAGTTGATTTTCTAAAATCCATCCAATATTTAGTTTACTTACATTTAATGTAATTTAATGTAAGAGCTCTTAACTGTGATGAAGTCCAACTTATTAATTTTTTCCGTTACAGCTAGTGCTTTTTATTCCTTAATCTGGGTTTTAATAAAGATACTCTCCCACATTTTGTCGAGAACTTTAAAGTTTTCACTTTCTTGTACAGGTGTGCAATCCAGCCCACATCCATCTCTAACTGTGGCCAGTGCTCTGACGCAGGGACCGAGGTGATGTGTTCTCAGGCTCACCCAGTTATTTCGGTGTCAGCTGCTGAAAAGACTCTTCTCTCCCCACTGAAATAATAAAAATTGACGAACAATCTTCAGATGAAAAGTACGAAGACTTCACTACTTCATTTCAAGACTTACCGAATGCTACAATAATGAAGTCTGCGTGCTGCAGGGCTAAGGATAAAGAGACCCACCAACTACAACAGAGTCTAGAAACAGATCCACAATATGGCCAATTTCTTGTTTTTACAAAGATGTCAAGGAATTTCATGACGTTTATTCAGTTCACTTACGAATCCACAAACCCCCAAAGAAAGGATGTAGGATTAACTGTTACAGGTAGGTATTCCAACCACTGTCAGGGGTTAATAGCCAGGAAAAAGTGTGAAAAATAATAGAGCTGACACAAAACCCAAAGTATTTTTTAAAGCTTAGTGCTGTTTAGACTACAACAGTCTTTTACATCCCTAAAAGCACTGAGGTCATCTCTACAATACAGTTTACTGTCACACTCATGATACTTAGTATACAGTACTTTAATATCTACAAAGTGCTTTCCCTTTTAACTGCCCTGTGAGATGTGAAGAGCTGCACCATTAAGTAGCACTAAGTTATAATCTTAAATTACATATAAGGAGGCATGAATTTACCTAACACATTTTGGGAAGATTCACACTCAAAATCTTAAAAATACATGTTTTAAATTATAACACTTATTAGGATAACAGACAGGAATTTTTAAAATTTACCCGTACGACGTATTTCTAGATCATGCCTAAGAAATGCAAGTGTTGGGCGCCTGGGTGGCTCAGTTGGTTAAGCGACTGCCTTCGGCTCAGGTCATGATCCTGGAGTCCTGGGATCGAGTCCCACATCAGGCTCCCTGCTCAGCGGGGAGTCTGCTTCTCCCTCTGACCCTCCTCCCTCTCATGCTCTCTGTCTCTCATTCTCTCTCTCGCAAATAAATAAAAAATCTTAAAAAAAAAAAAGAAAAAAAGAAAAAGAAATGCAAGTGTTTCCACAAGAAGCACTTATTTCCAAAATCTCCCATTTGGGGAAGGTTCTAGCAGATGGGGGAAAGTGTAGTACCATGCCAGGAGGATGATTCTGTAATAGGTGTTTCCCATTCTAGAATTCCCTGTAGTTCACCTTGGTTTTCCTGAGCACACAGAACATGAAGCAACATGCTGCCGCACCATTGTCGCAGAGATGTCTTTTGTTTGGTTTTATACAACCACCAGCCGTAGGGTAAGTCTTGTAGAGTTCATCATCTGAACACACAAGACTGTTATACGTAACAGATTCATCGGCTTAGTGGAAAAGCCATTCTATTCTTCCCCCTGGGATGCTGTACGTCCATGCCTCAAGAACATGTTTACCTTAGACTTTTAAGCTCCTTCAGCAGCTAAAAATAAGCTAGTTTAAGTCGTCAACACTGAAATATCACAGTATCAGCAAGTCAAGCAAGTTGGCATTTAGACCACCCTAAGAAATAGCTCAGTAAGTTCCACGATTAGAAGACATTTACATTACATGCTTTCATTTACTTCTCTGACTTATCTGACAAGTGAGAAACATCTTAAGTTATTAATGAAGCTTTTATCCCAACCCTGTGGGGAGAACAGAGAAGTGTTACAAGCAAAAAACCAAAATGGTATTTTATTGATGTTTAACATAGCAACACAAATAATACATTTAGGATACAGCATCATGAAATAAATTGAATGGCTGAAGACAAACAAAAACACCCTGGTATTTACTGTGAATTCAAAACTGGAAGGATAAAAATTAAAAAGAAAAAAGTAAATTACAAAAGGGATAAATCTGAATGTACTAAATAAAACTTTAACTGGAGTTTAAAAGGAAACCAAAGGCTATTATTAATAGAGAAGAGGCATAAAAAATTTATAAGATACACACAGAAAATAAATTAATTTGAAATGAATGTTTATAGGTTGTTGAAAAATAATTAATGTTGAAAGCATCTTCCTTTTCGAAAAAATTTAAACTGAGACCAATTTACTTACCCCAGCTCTGTCATGCCATCTACAAATTCCTTTTTGCTAAATTCACATTGCGTCGCTGCCCTGAATTTCCATGCTATAACCAAAACGCTGACGCTGGCAGGATCCAGGTTTAAGTCATCACAAAACTGTTGAATCCCGTCAATTCCAATTTTATTTTCATCTTGTGGGTCTACAGTTAAAATCAAGAGAGAAAGAAATTTTGCTATTTTGAAAAGTACCACTAAAATGGGTGGTTAGAATCATAGCCCTAGAAAGCATGTTTCAGATACATCAATCAATGGACCACAATTTTCTACTGTATATGAAACAGCAACAAATAATAATTTATCCAGAAAAAAAAGCCCTATTTTAAAAATCTAGGTTACTGGAGTTTAGGGGAAGAAAAAAAGAATACCGCAACTTCTTTGAGAAGACTTAATCATTAAGAAAAAAATTAATTTCCATAAAGTAAAATAAAAATTCAACTTTATACAATTCTACTTTGTCCAAAGGCAACCCTAACCCTAACCCTAACCCTAACCCTAACTGCATCATAGGGCGCCTGGCTGGCTCAGTCGGGGTGGGGGGAGTGTGCGACTCTTGATGTCAGGGTCGTGAGTTTGAGCCCCAAGTTGGGTGTGGAGATCACTTAAAAATTTTTAAAAATCTGTAATTTTAAAAAATATTTTAAAATTTTAAAAATATTAAAAAAAATACTGCATTTGTAAAGTGTTTACAATATTATAAGTTTTTATCACAACCCTGCCAAAACAATAAAGAAACTGATGTTCTTCTTTTCAAAGTGATTTCATTTGCTATAATTTTAATGCTACCGTACAACATTTAGGTCGCAAACACTGAAATATCACAGTATCATTTAGTTCATGAATCCACATTTAATGGCTTAGAAATTCAGGCCTCCCTCACTCCCCATTTCTGGTTTAGAAATGAAATTAAGGAACTTAGCATTTATCAGAAAATCAAATAGTAAAATCTATTAGAAACATCTCAGCAAGACCTCACCAAACTAGGTCTTGTAATTTCCGACAGAATGCACGTGTACTAATATATCATCATGATGTATGTGTTAATTCTGTTGGTTTAGAAGGTATGAATAGAAAATTTGTAGCTTCTTTGCTCAAATAAAGATTAAGTGTCACAAACTTTTCTTCCATCATACAAAATTTAACTTTGGTCTCTTAAGTATTCATAGGTTACATTTTTACAGGCATGTCGTTACCAAAATAAAATAAAATAAAAAGTATGCCGTAAATTAAACAAATGAAAGCACAGGCTTCCTCCCAACCTGTTGTCCTGTATAATGAGCGAGCAGCTGTCCCAAGGGCTTCTGCTTCTCACCCGCCTTCCTATTATTCAATGCTCCCAGAGTTACAGATCTTCAGGAGAGCAAAATTGCCCCCAATGCCCTCACCTCATAAATTTCACAAGCGATAATACTATTTGAAAGTGTAGAAGTACTCATTTATTTGCATACATTAACATAATAACCAACGTTATATTTGTTAACAGTCTTTGAACAATATATCTATTTCTAGACCCAAGATGATTGCACATTGTGTCTACTTTAAATGACAAGAATTGCATGAATAAAATTAAATGATAAAAGGATACTGTTTAAACTAAAGTAGCTCTCACAAAGTATTTTTTTAAAGGCGCTAGACATATTTGAATCACTTCAGAAATCTGCATAGCATGTGACTCACAAACTTAGCTCCACTCCAATTTTTGGCAAAATTAACTTAGCCAAAAAAATTTAAAGCACATTAAAGCTTATTAAAAACGATTTTTCATTTTGAAAACCATGTTCATTTTTCAAATACAAATCTGCTCTTTCTACCACGGAGTATGTTTCTGTGCCAAAGATTAAGAAAAAAAAAGAATGTAATTTTTAATCTATTTTCAGATCTAAATAGAATAAAATATACACTTGATATTTTCAAAAGTAAAAAATGAAAATAAACAAGAATTTAAAGCCCAGGAGTTCTTCTGTTTGGGTTCATACTTGTTTAAATGAGGTTTTTGAAGGTTAACCTTAGAAAGTGCTAGAAAGAAAAAATAAACGAACTTTGAATAGTTGTTGCCTCTCCAATTCCAGCACGGACTGGACATGCGATATGAAATCCGACAGCCTGCTGAGGGAGTCAATCGGTACAGACTCATCAGAGACACTTCTTCCTGCAGCACAACCATATTTTGATGGGGAAAGCTCCGTTCTAAGTGCCGATTTTAATAAAACAACAATGGTCCCCAACTTACAGCACAAACGTTTCTTTGCTAAGAGCTGCCCACCCCCCAGCTCCCTCAACTGCCCAGCGGCTCCAGGCCCACCACGTGGCTACCCTGTGTAGCAGAAGGGCGACTTCCACCCTCAGGTCAGAGTCACTTCTTCAACTGCCCTCTCGCCAGAATCCTCCAGCTTACGCAGAAGTGCGGGGGCATGTGTGTGGCCGGGACAGCACGCCCCCCAGAAGGAGACGATGCTGCGGCTGGGCGCGCGGGCCGCAGACCCTGCCCGGACCGGCTCACCACCGCCGCGTCTGCAGAGCCCGCTCCCGTCAGCCCAGCCCGGCCCAGCCGCTCTCAGTCACCAGTCCGCTGCAGCCGAGTCCCAGAAGGAGGAGGAATAGCCTCCTGGAGGTCTTGTGAACTGGGCGTGAGACGTCCAGGAGCTAGAATACTCCTGCTGCCTGCCGTCTGCCCCCGGCCGCGGCCTCCTCTTACCTCTGTAGCTGTCGTACAGCTGCTCCAGCTTCTTCTTGTCCACCGTGCTTCTCATGGGCTCCCTGAGGAAAGGTCTGGGTTCGATAACAAGTCGCCTGCAGCCACGTCTAGTTTCCCCTCATCCTGCGTTACGCAGCAGACGGCACTCCTTTGGCCACAGTGAGAAGTGCCATAAACTGGAGACCGTGTTCTTCCGAGGTGACCTACGTGTATGCGTGGGACACAGAAGCAGCAGGAAAGCCGACACCACGGGCCCAGAGCTTTGTTTCAGCGTCCCATGACCACCGCTGGTATTCCAGCCAGACTTCGCTGTTTCTCACTGGGTCAGCTTCACTGCAGAACCCCGGGACAACACGCCCCGTTCTTCATGACTCGAGAAGACTGCATGGTCTTCTGAAAACTGAAACGACAGCAATTTAATAACAAATAGGCAAAGTGTAATCTTCAAACAATTATGAGAATCAGTATTTTACACCAAATACATTTTGATCTCTACCCGCTTCAATTTGCATAAAACACAACATTATTTTTTCCCTAAGTCTCAGGAAAATCCCTCTTCTACACACGTAGCCCTGTGATGCAGCAAGGCTGGGTGTTTGACCCAAGGTGCGACCGTATCACCACAGCCCATCTGCAGGGTCCTCTTTAGCTTCAGTTAATTTCAGGCTCTAATGAATAGGAGAAGCGCTTCACAGTTTGTAAACATTCATGTTTCAAGTTTTTCCCTGTTTAAAATCAGCAGAGCCACACTGATGAAAACATATACAGGTAACTAAGAATAGTGTTAAACACTACTTACAAAAGTTCCAAAGCAGCCACAAAAAGCCTGTTACGACTAAATGTAATAATATGAATAACAGAAATATCTGTGTATACGAGACAGAGATAAAATGGAAAAATAGGGCAGAGGCTGTGGGAGGAAGTAAATAACAAAACTGCCAAGTAACTGTACTATATATAGTACGTAAGGAAACAAAATAGCGTCCCCGCACTTCCAGATATGGGATGGTTAGGTTTGGACTTATCTAAGGTAACCTGGAAAAGGACATCAGAAATGAAAGTGACTCACTGGCCTCTGTAAATCAACAGACTCTAATCTACTAGATACTAAAGCTCTAAAACGTTTCACAAAATAATATAAGAGGAAAAGTTTCACTTGAAAGGATTTATAGTCAATCTCGTTCAAAAAAGGATGTGACAGTTTATAAAGCCACACACAGTACATTATAGCTTACAAAAATATATAAATGGAATACACATGCCTATGGAGAGACTGAGGAGGGAAAAAGCAGGAAAGTCAGGGGTGAGACTTAGACACACACACCACATCCAAGAGATGAACGCAGGCTAAAAATTCGGCTCTGAGCTTCCCAGCTGCCAAACCAAAGACGAAAACAGGACTGGTCAGGAAAATCTGTTTTCGTAAGATTTAAAAACCTACCAGTGGCCCAGAGGTGGCCCAGCTCCTCCTGGCACTGAAACCCAAAGGAGTGGCCCCTGTGGTCACTCATGAAAGGGCGACTGCCCCATGCCCTTCCTGCCCTTCGCAGACCAGCCCCTCCCCCAATGCCGACCCTGAACAGCAGAGCAAGCTCCCAAAGCTGCTTCTCACAGCATCCCTTACTGCATGCTGATGCCAAAATAGCAGAGTACAATTCAGCAGGAAAATAACATAGTGCAGTCCAAATACACCACTCTCTAGGTACGGTCTGGGCATCCCAGGGCCCTGAGACCTCTCAGGGATTCCACCAAGACAAAACCACCTTCACAACAATCCCAAGCCATTATCTGCCTTTCTCATGCTCCCTGTAATGCAGCAGAGGCCACGTGACTTGTGATCCTTGCAAAAATGCAACATAGATATGCAATCAACTGATTATTGTTATTTTTAAATATACCAATGTTTTTAAACTTTTCATTGTAACTTCTAATACAGTAAATCCTGATGGCTACAACTCAAATAAACAAAAGCTCTTTGGGGCTCCAGCAATTTTTTAAAGTGCCTACAGGACAGGGTTCTAACAAGTCTCAGAACTGCTGATGAAGCATAACACAGGGCACTGATCTTTTGGCGACTTAGAACAAGGACGGTTCATCATTTGGGGTCTTGGGTCCCTTCTGGAAACTGGTGAAAATCACAGATCCTCTCTCCAGCAAAACATGTGGTTTTGCATAAAATGTGGGCGTTTTCATAGATCACTGAAGCCTACCTATTGGTTCCTCAGAGGCGAAGGGAAGGTGAAACTTAGGTTATAGGGCCCAGTGAGGTAGATGAGGGGCCGCTGGTCTCTGTTGCAGCTACTCAGTTCTGCAATGTGTAAATGATGGATGTGCTGTGCACCAATAAAACTTTATTTACACACACGGGCAATGAGCCTGTGGGCTGCAGTTTCTAATCCTAATCTAGACTCTAGAGGAATATATAGAATATATACTCTGTACGCTATTTCCTGAAATTGAGCCGCTGAAAAGAACTAGACAAAGAGCTTGAGGTTGTATTTTCTGGTAAGATCGAATTTAGCTAAATTAGGACAGGTCCCATATGCTTTGACAGTAAGCTGACAAAAGGGACAGCAGCATCTTTTATGAAGGTGATGGCCTCCCCGAGGGAGGGTGGGTAAAGCCAAGGGCTCCCTCAGAAACTAAAGTGGAGAGAGATGTTCCATACCTACCCAGCACATCACTAGCAATCAATGCTCCTAACATCTGTATTATGCAAATCGCCATCAGTGCTAGATTTTAAAATTCTGTCATGGTTGCAAAATAAAATTTGGTGCACATAAACAACGAAATTCAGCCATAAAAAGGAACAAAGTACTGAAAAATGCCACAATGTGGACGAAGCTTGGAAACTTTATACCAAGTGAAAGAAGTCAGACACAAAAAGCCAGATGTCATATGATTCCATTTACATGAAATATCCAGATAGGCAAATCCACAGACAGGAAGCAGCCCAGTGGCTGCCCCGGGCCTGGGGGGCGGGGGGTATGGGGAGTGACTGCTCAGTGGGCATGGGGTTTTCCTCGAGGATCATGAAGGGGTTTGGAAGTCGCCAGAGGTGGTGATAATACAACATTGTGGATGTCCTCAACACCACTGAATTATACACTTTAAAATACCTAATTTTATGTTATGCAGATTCTACTTCAAAAAAAAATTCAACATAGCATTCTCAGAACCTCCAAGATTAATTAACAGAGTAGCATACTGTTGGATAACTGAAGTATTTCACCAGGATCACACAGCTGATGGATCCGCGCCAAGTAAATGTTGGCAGATACCTGGAAGATCTGATGTCTGGTCTTGAGGTACTTTTCCTGATAATCACCTCTTGAAGCTTCTCCTAATACATGACAAAATAGTTATATCAACAGTGTAAAGAAGAATACTCCGAAAACTCTAGAAAAAGAGATACAGGAGTGTATGGACCAAGCCAGGCAAAGTGGCTTGAACTGTTGCCATGTAAGTTACCAAGTGGGTGGACGTGCAGAGAGCACAAGTCCGTCCCTCCTCCGTCTATCCCAAGTGCCGCGGGTCACGGGTGCAGGCTCTGGGTGTGTAGGAGCAGCCAAGCGTCTAAGCTTAGCCCATAAAAGTCTGTGACCAGAATGAACAGGAAAGGGATTCTCAGTCAAATTGCAACAATGTGATGTTACACCTTACAGGTTTCTCCAGAAAGTAGCCCCGACTGGAACAATGCTCACTGGCTAAGTATAAAGACTATGTGTGCTTCACGTCCAAAAGGAACTAAGAGACTCAAGTTGCAATCTGTAGAAAAAGGAACTGGCATAAAGCTTTCTAGAAGAAAATGTCTCATAAACTAAAAAATTACAGGGGATAGAAGCGAGCTCTGGATCCATTTAGATGGGCTAAATCCATGCAAAATTAATGAAGGCCCATATTTGGCAGGACCAGGGCCTACCCTTCAAGCTCATGGCCCTCACTAAGGCTTACTGCATCAAGGAAATTAACTTAGCAGCTTTTTTGGGGGAGGGAGATGGGCAGTGTTCAATTGTTTTACTTTGTTTAAATATACACAATTCTTGAAATAAAAATATGGACAATCCAGTAGAAAATCAAATAGAATCTCTACAGGAAAAGTCTAAAACATTTCAACTGTGACTTTGAAAAAAATCACCTATATAATCTGGGCACCAAGATCACCCACATACAAAATGAAAAAAAGAAAAAAACAGTAATTTTTTAAAAAGACTTATTTATTTGACAGAAAGAGAGAACAAGCACACAAGCAGGGGGAGTGGAAGGCAGAGGGTGAAGCAGAATCCTCGCTGAGCAGGGAGCCTGACACCGGACTCGATCCCAGGACCCTGAGATCATGACCTGAGCTGAAGGCAGACCCTTTACTGACTGAGCCCCCCAGGCGCCCCAAGAAACAGTTACTCTTGCAGTGCCCGTCCACAGACACTTAATACAACAAAATCTTTGGTTAGGGGCAGCTGGGGCAACCATACTGATCAAATTAATGACATAAACTTTGTCTCTCCGATTTTCTGCTTTGGTGTATGGCAGGCTGGGGTGGAGTTAAATCCAAGTGTCCCCTTACACACTCTTGGATCTTCAACAGGTGCAGCGATGGCTCGGTACTCTTCCCCAAGTTCGGCTCCTGCCCTTGGAGCCCCTCCCCCCCGAAGCCCGCCCTGCTGGGGGGGGCTCCTCCAGCCTGGGCAGTGCAGCTGCTCAGAGGCCCCTGCTCCCTCTGGGTTTCTAAGCCTACTCTCCCTGGTCTTCTTGTTCCTCTGACCAGCCCTCCTCCGTCTCCTTCTCTGCTCCTCCTCCCCTAACTCTCAAGCCTCCGCTCTTTCCCCTACACATTCCTCCCGGACCACCTCCCTCCTGTTTGAAACTCTCCCACCAGCCCCCCACAACCATGAGGACAAACACCGAACCTTCTCTTCCTGTGCCCTAGAAGACTCTGCGCACCTGATTCCTGTCCCCTCACCAGTCTCCTACGCATCACCTTTCTCTGGCTCTCTGTACTCCAGCCGGCGGATCTTCCGGGTCCTGGAACCTGTCATCTCCAACCACCTATTTTGTTCCTTCTGCCTGGAGTGCTGCAACTATCCGGCCGCCCCTCCCACATCTCTCATTCTGCAGGATACAGCCCACACTGCATTACACTCTGTGTTCCTCTGGTGAAGGCTCTGTTGCCTCAGCCCTGGGACCATCACCCAGCCCAGCCCACAGATTACTAGAACCCGTGCCTCTCCTGAGCCCGTACCCCAACCATAATAAAAGAGTGGTGCATTAGTGCCTGTCTCATCTGCCAGGAAAGAGGCTCCATGAACGCCAGACCCACATCTGTCTTGCGCACAGTCAAACCCCCGCACCTAGTGCCCTACCTTCCTTGCGCAGAGAAACCTCTGAATTTATTGAATAAATGGTGACCCCCCCCCCCCGACTACCACGGTTTCCACTACATTTTAAGAAGCCCCTCTTCTGGGCCGTCCCTCTATGTCTCCTTCTTCGGCATGACCGTATTGTCTTCCCACACAAACCTGCGCACGTCACCAGCTGCTCAGGTGCCCAGGCCGGGAACTGGTAAGCTGGTTCTTCATAGTTCAGTGGAGGTCCCTCCCCCCCTCCACTCCTCCTTGTTCCCAGGGTCACCTCCTCCTGCCTAGATGATCACAACAGCCTCTAACTGGTCTTCCTGCAATCCTGAACCGTCCGGTCCAACTCCTATTCTCCCGGCAAAATACAAACAGGCCCACCTCCCACGCCGCCTTCTGAACACCTCCTGTGCTGCCACGGTCTCCTGGGCAAACTCTACTCCCCGCGCACGGAAGACAAGGCCCTGCCCGACAGCGCTACCCTTCCGGACTCCCAGGCCGCCTGCTGGCCGCTGGGCGTTGGCGTAACGCTCCAAAGCACCACCTTCCCCGCTTCATCTGGACCAGGGGCCTTGCTCCTCGTCGCCCCGGCTGCGCGCGTTTCCGCTCCAGCCCGGGTCGGAGTCGCCTCCTCCTGGTCAGACAGCCGCAGGCTCCCACCTGCGCGCCTCCCCGCAGAGCCCTCCGGGCCCGAGGCCGGCCGGCGACCCCGCCACTCCCGTGACCTTCGCGCCCCGCGCTCCCCAGCCTCCGCCCAGTCCCGCCCCGACCCCGGCGCCCCCTCGGCCCCCGGCGCGCAGGAGGGACCCGGTGGGAGGCGACACCGCGGACCACCTACCATTCTCCGCGGCGCACCGCAGCTTCTCGCCGGCTCCGGCCGTCTGCGCAGGCGCCCGGCCCGGCGCGCTGCGCTCTTCCTCGGCGTCGGCGCCCGGGACACCCGCCCGGGAAGGAGGGCGGGGGACCGCGACGGGTCCACACCCGCGGAACTCCAACTCCCGGCGCGCACCGGGCCGCCCGGGGGACGGGCCGCACCCAGGCCTCGCCCCCCAGCTCCCAGCGTGCACAGCGTGGCCCGGGGGCTCACGGGACCTCACTCCCGCGCGCCCTCCCGGCGCCGACGTGCACAGCGCCGCCCGACGGGACCCCAGCCCTCCCTCTCCTACAAATCCCGACGTGCCCTGCGCCGCCCGACGGGACCCCAGCCCTCTCTCCTACAAATCCCGACGTGCCCTGCGCCGCCCGACGGGACCCCAGCCCTCTCTCCTACAAATCCCGACGTGCCCTGCGCCGCCCGAGGGCCGACGGGAACGCAGGCCCCGCCCCCCAAGGGGCACGCACCTCTCTGGGCCGCGTCCGCGGCGACGGCGCTCCGGAGGGGGTGACGGACGGCTAGGCCCCTCCCCGCGCCCGGCCGCGTCCGGGCCCCCGCCTGGGAAGGGATGCGGTAAGGCGCGACCCTGTCGGCTGCTGGACTCCGAGCGCTGGAGAGCGGGGCCAGGGCGCACGTGTGCCGCGCCGCGTCCAGGTGAGCGCCGCTCGCGGTGCGGGCGCGGGGCCTCGAGGCTCCCTCCTGGGGGGTCTTCCCTCCTGGGGGGTCTTCCCTCCTGGGGGCCTCCCCGCCCCCGGCCTGCGCGCCCGGGCCTCTCTCCTCGGGGCGCCCTTCCCTCCCTTCCGAGTCCCGCCGTCCGTGTCTGCTCCTGCGCGGGCTCCCACCTGGTCGTCCTGGGTCGGGACGGTCTCCTGCCGCGCCGCGCCTTGCGTTTGTCGGTGGAACGGCGGGAGCTGCCGAGGCCAGCGGGGAGGAGCCTGCGGTCAGTTCCTGGCTTCCCCGAGCAGGGGCTTCCTTCGTGCCCAGCCCTAAGATTCCTGCGGGGTAGCTAATCTGTAAGTGGGAGTCACACGGAGGATGGAACACGCTCTGGCGGCGCTCGCGTTCGTCCGCACGCGTCCACAGACCCTGGGAAGGGGCGGGCAGCCCCTGGGGCTGGACTCCGGAGGCCAGCTCGTCGTCCCGGCTGCAGAAGCCGGGAGGGGCCCCCGCGCCTCAGCCGAGCCTCCCCGGCAGCAGACGCTTGGCCGTTCCCCTCGGCCCCTGTGCCTGCTTTCCTGGCTGCGGAGAAAGACGGCTGCCTTCTTACAGGCTCTGCCCTCGGTCCTCTTCGGGTCTTACGTGAGAGCACCCGGGGAAACATAAGCGGAGGGGGACGTGCTTAGCTCTGATGCTCTCTTGTGAGACGATAGTTATCTAGGCGTAAGGTGGCTCAGCCTTCTCACATTTAAGTATTTTTCTGATCATTCTTTGGATCAGTGTCCTACTGGTTCTGAGTCTTTTTTTATACTATCAACTTTTTTTAAAAAAGAGTGTATCAACGGTTGGATTACTTAACAGAGTATGTGGTTTTTGTAGTTTAGTTGACATTAAGTAAGTACTTTAAAGCTTTTTCGGGTCCGTAAGAATTTTCCCTCATTCACTTTCCTTTCTCTCTATTAACTCGTTCTCTGCTTACTTTACAAATTAGATATAAATCTGGAAGTCGTATTTATAAGATTACAAGTGCTTTATCTTTTAAGAATTATACTTTTGTCATTTCAATTGTTCATATTTAAAATTCTCCACGAATTAGGGGCGCCTGGGTGGCTCAGTTGGTTAAGCGACTGCCTTCGGCTCAGGTCGTGATCCTGGAGTCCCGGGATCGAGTCCCGCGTCGGGCTCCCTGCTCGGCGGGGCGTCTGCTTCTCCCTCTGACCCTCCCCCCTCTTGTGCTCTCTTTCATTCTCTCTCTCAAATAAATAAAATCTTTAAAAAAATAAAAATAAAAAAATAAAACTCTCCACGAATTAGATTGAGGTAGGTTATTTCCGTTGGGGAGTTTGCTTCCTAAGACTTTTCCATGAGCACAGCTTTTGTTTCCTGTTCGTTTACTGTGTTGTGCTGAATCTGGAAATGTTGCTGGTATCACAAAGAAATTCTAACATTAAACCATTTCCTACAAATGATCTTTATGTTTTCCTTTTTCAGAAGAAGCTAAATGACCGGTATTGGTTGCTAACTTTATTCCTGCATGCCCACACTGCTTGCCCTGGGATCTCCTGCACACGGCACCAGGCACTGCATTTGGTACCAGGTCAGTACGTCCCACACTTAGGGTCTCGGTTCAGCTGAGTGGATGTGGCTGGGGTTCCTCCGAAGGGCTGTGTTGGCGCCTGGCTGGGTTGGCCTCTGCTGGACAGACAGTGGTTGCTGTCCTAGTAAGGTGAATATTTGGACTAGATTCTTTTTAGCAGTTTGATCAGGAAAATTGGAGAAAGTGGGTCTGGAAGGTCCAGAGGAAGAGAGATGATGGAGGATCCTGTCGCTACACATAAGCAGAAGGCTGGGAGGCAGAGCCATGAGGTTTTCAAATTTTAGCCCATTATAGAAAATTGAAAAAAATAGAGGAGCTGCTGCTCCTTCTGTTTCCCATCCCCCTCTGCCTCCCCAGCCCCATTCCCTGAAAGGACTTCAGCAACCCCAGGACTCGAGGACTCTGTCTCATACCAGATGTCTAAGGAAATAGTCCTTTTACATACCCTGCAGTCCTGATAGAGCTCAGAGTTAGAGGCATATGGGAGAAATCTTTAACTTGGGTGACTTTGCTCTGAAAAAGGCTGGTTTTAGACTACATTATTGTGCTTTGCCTTTGACCTTTCTATCCAAAAAATGACATTTCTCAATTACTAAAGATTTTCGAGAGAATAAGAGTAATGTGATTTTTATATGACAGTGAATTAAAGGTACTGGAAATTTTTTTTTAACGATTTATTTATTTGAGAAAGAGCGTGTGTGTGGTGGGGGGAGGGACAGAGGGAGAGAGAGAATCTCAAGCAGACTCCCTGCTGAGTGTGGAGCTTGACACCGGGCTCAACCCCACCATCCATGAGATCATGACCCGACCTGAAACCAAGAGTTGGATGCTCTTGGTTTTGGCTGAACTGGACCTGACTGAACCACCCAGGCGCCCCTGAAAATATTGGAAGTTTTTTTTGTTTTTTGATTTTTTGAGTGGGCTTAATGGTGAACCCATTTGCCTTTTTATCCCGAATAACTTAAGACATTTATTAAATATTTTTGTTCTTTTTTTTTTTTTTTTTTTTAAAGATTTTATTTATTTTTTGACAGAGAGAGACATAGCGAGAGCAGGAACACAAGCAGGGGGAGTGGGAGAGGGAGAAGCAGGCTTCCCGCAGAGCAGGGAGCCCGATGTGGGACTCGATCCCAGGACCCTGGGATCGTGACCTGAGCCGAAGGCAGACGCCTAACGACTGAGCCACCCAGGCGCCCAATATTTTTGTTCTTGATCAAGTAGTCTCATCAATTTTTTTTTTTTTAAAGATTTTATTTATTTATTTGAGAGACAGAGAATGAGAGAGAAAGCATGAGAGTGGGGAGGGTCAGAGGGAGAAGCAGACTCCCTGCTGAGCAGGGAGCCCGATGCGGGACTTGATCCCGGGACTCCAGGATCATGACCTGAGCCGAAGGCAGTCGCTTAACCAACTGAGCCACCCAGGCGCCCCAAGTAGTCTCGTCAATTTTAAGGTAAGTTTTGCGAATCATGTTCTGCATTTATCAAGCAAGCAGCACCCATTAGAAATTTGGCAAAGCTGTGGATATATGTTTTAATTAATGTTGGAAATGTGTAAATGAAACCTTTGGGGGTGGGTTGTGTTCAAAGTACTGATTTTGCTGTTGCTCTAAATGAAAAGTAACCTTGTGTTTTACTGTAGCAGAGACATCTTGAAAACCTTTGGCTCTGGTTTAGGGCATTTCCTAGTTTAAAATATAAAAAAAGGGCACCTGGGTGGCTCAGTTGGTTAAGCGACTGCCTTCGGCTCAGGTCATGATCCTGGAGTCCTGGGATCGAGTCCCGCATTGGGCTTCCTGCTCAGCGGGGAGTCTGCTTCTCCCTCTGACCCTCCCCCCGCTCATGTGCTCTCTCTCTCTCTCTCTCTCAAATAAATAAAATCTTAAAAAAAATAAATAAATAAAATATAAAAAAAATGTCGGCTATGTTTTCTTTGTTCTGCAACATAGATGGTGATCATTACACAAAACAAGGGCTTAGCAGGAAACAGTAAGCCTTTATATTGAATTTTTAAAACTTTCTTTTGAGATAATTACAGACTCATATATAGTTATAAGAACTAATACAGAGAAATCCCACAGATTCTTCACCCAGATTTCCCCAGTGATAACTCCTGACAAAACATATGGTATAAGCAGAAGACTGCATCAATCCAGTCCACCCACTGCACGTGTGTGTGTGTGTGTGTGTGTGTGTTCAGATCTGTGCGATTCTGTCCTGTGTGGATTCCTGGGGCCACCGGCGCTGTCAAGACACAGACCATTTCCATCCGTAGAGTACCTCCTCCCCCTTCCCTGACCCCTGAGAGCCCCTATCTGCTCTCCCCCTCCACGGTTTGTCATTCCACAGTACTGTGTAAAAGGAGTCGTGGGGCCTGTGTGATAGGCTGTCCTCACGCACCCTTGAGATCCACTGAGGTTGGATCAGTGAATCAAGATATAGAAATTCTGGAGGTGCCTGGGTGCCTGAGTTGGTGAAGCATCTATCTGCCTTTGGCTCAGGTCATGATCTCAGGGTCATGGTATCAAGTCCCACATCAGGCTCCCTGCTCAGCAGAGAGCCTGCCTCTCCCTCTCCCTCTTCCCTCTGCTCATGTGCGTGTGCACGTTCTCTATCTTTCTCTCTCTCTCAAATAAATACAATCTTAAAAAAAAAGATATAGAAATTCTAGGAATTCATTATAAAAACACAGTAAATCCAAAGTGTGTTTTTTATAATTGAAGGTAATAATAACAAAACACTGGAGCTAAAAATGTTTATTATTTACTCAAGAAAAAGCATGCTACAATTTAGTAGTCCATAGGATTTGGTAGCCAAGTTTGAAGGTAAGATGGAATTGAATTTATGAAGAAGGAGTGATTCATATTTTCGGAGTCTATAAATAATTTCAGTTTCATGTTCATGATATAAACTTGTTTGGGTGGAAATATTATATGACCACAACTAAATTCTCAATGATTTTTCGTAAAAATTAATAGTCCCTCATGTGTCGTGGGGTAGAGTTTTAAGTATTTAATTTCAGGAACTTGTTTGGGGAAGGAACCAGAGATGAATGGAGGCGTGTTGTTCACAAACTGTGTGGCAGGTTATTTGTCTGAAGTTTGAAATCCATAAAAGAATCACTTTTTGAGATCTTTTAGGGAAAATGGGAAACATTGACAAAGCTTCAGAAATTTCTGTCTTGGTTCTGAAAAATACTAAAAAAGCATGCACTTCTGAAGTAGTGATTGAATTTGTTCTGTCCCCTGGAACAATAGAAGCTTAGCAATAAAATGTGTCATTAAAATGACAGATTAACTATGTTGCTAGGCATTACTATGATTAGGTAATCATTTATTTATTTTTGGGCGCCTGGGTGGCTCAGTCGTTAAGCATCTGCCTTCCGGCTTGGGTCATGATCCCGGGGTCCTGGGATCGAGCCCTGCATCGGGCTCCCTGCTCAGCGGGAAGCCTGCTTCTCCCTCTCCCACTCCCCCTGCTTGTGTTCCCTCTCTCGCTGTGTCTCTCTCTGTCAAATAAATAAATAAAATCTTTTTTAAAAAAATCATTTATTTATTTTTAAGGTGGTAACATTTACTTAAAGTTACATTAAAACTGTAACATAAAGTTGGGTAATTTAGACAGCATGTTCTCATGTACCCTACCTTGTTGGGGAAAAAAGTGAACTATTGTAGGTACGTGAATTCTCTGTGTGACATCAGGAGCTGAAGGATTCAGAAATGTATTGAAATTGAGCAGTTTCCTGACTTTCTAACCAGAATATTGAGTCAGAATATAATTTTTTCCTGGTGAGTTTTGATTGGTAGGTATCCCTCCTGTCCTTCAGTAGTGGTATTTTCGGTTCAGCCCTCACCAGACCCCCGGGCGGCTAGTCTTTGCAGAGTTCTTGTGCTGTTTTTTCAGAAGCTCTGCTTTGTCTCCACTTTCTCTTGGCTGTCATTTCTTAGTCTGGTCAGAATTTTATCTCTAGAAATGTCACAGTCTTGTTTTTGCTGCATCTGACCTGTTTTGCCTGGGAAACCAGCTTAAACTTGTGAGAATTGGGATTACTAGTGAAAGTGAGGTACAGATACGTGTTTGAGTAAACAGATCCTCAGGAAGGGGAGATAACTGGTACATTTGATGTGGTAATCCATGGGATGCTGCTACTGATGATTCGTTTGTAGTAATATTTTGTTTTCTTTAAACTGCAAGTCTTGTGCAAATGGCAGATTTGTTTTGTTTTCTTTTTTGACATAAGTACTTGTGCCCAGTGATCTAGTTGCCAGGTTCAGTGGTTATTTTTCAGGGCATAGCTTGCTTGGCCTGTCTCTTGTTTGTTACTTCTCCTTCTTTGTTCTCCGTTTTTCTGCCTCTGAGGTGGTTCCGTCTTGGTGACCTTGCTGACACAGCTTGTACCTGCCCCTTGGTCACTCCTCTGGAGGACACAGCCCTGCCTCCTGGTGTGATCGGGACCCCACAGCTGCAGCACACGCTGCTGCCTGAAGCACAACCTTCAGTGAAACCTTCGGCCCGTCATGGCCAGGGTCCTGTCTGTGCTTCACTTGCCAGGATAAATTCCCACACAGTGTCTGGGCGCTTCCTAAGGAGAGGGAGAGAAGGAGCCTAAATTTGGGTGATAGAAAATGTTTGAACATTTAATAAAGCCCTATCGATCCAGGTGTGATTGTGTTTTGTGATTTTCTTTTTCTGTGTTTGACATCTGTGACTTTGGAAATTTTGCAAAATGCCTAATGATTTTGGAAAGAAAACAATATGTAAGCTAATAGCAGCTCAAATGGTTTCATTTAGAAATGATGTGGAGCGTGTTTCCTCCAGGTGAGTCACCAATCTGAGATAGCAGAAGTCGATGGTATTTTCTGGCCTTTAAGTTGAATGGTTTTTGTCTTTTGCACACAGTAGATTTAATAGGTATATGAGGCTAAGTTTTCTTTAAAAAAAAAAAAATTGCCTTTAAATTCGATGTAACCTTTAGTCTCAATTCTTTACCAGGCCCTATACTTTAATATTCAGTATTTTATTTAAATCCAGGTATAAGAGCTTAGATATTAATGTTTATCTAGGAAAAATAACATCTTCAAAAAAGTAATAGTTTTCTGGATGTAATTATTTAATACTTTTAAGTCTGATCTCAATAGTAATGAATCATTGTTCAGCTATATGTGACAGTAAATCTCTTTTTCAGCTGAAAATGTGTATCTAAAATGCAAGCTCACCTTAGCAGAAGCCTTTGGACAGCATTGCCCTGTCCTCTAAAATTGGATCATGAAGGTATTGGAAAAAAATTACTTTTGGATGTTGCTTCCACTGCTTCGTTTGATAGCCGATGCTGCGGAACATGAAGAGGTAGCAAAACATGCCATAAAGTTACACCGAGGCAGAGGGGCAGCCATCACTCAGAGGAAGCAGTGGGTCCTCGATAGTTGCAGAAAGCTCTCTGGGCTGCTTCGCCAAAAGACTGTGGTTCTTAACAAACTGAAAAGTGCAATCAGAGCAGTGGAAAAAGACGTTAGCCTGTCAGATGAAGAGAAACTATTTCAGGTGCACACATTTGAAATTTTCCAAAAAGAGCTGAATGAAAGTGAAAACTCAGTGTTCCAGGCGATCTATGGCCTCCAGAGAGCCCTGCAGGGAGACTACAGAGATGTTGTGAACATGAAGGAAAGCAGTAGGCAGCGTCTGGAGGCCCTGAGAGAGGCTGCGATAAAGGTGAGTCCAGCCCGCTCTGAGCCAGAGAGCAGGGCCACCGAGTCCGGGGAGAGGACGGTGGGCGCTGTGCTGAAGCAGCTGTGGACCGCCAGGCACCTGTTCACAGCAAAACACGTACAGAGTGTGTCCCTTCCTTGTGCATGACATCGTGGCATAGCTCCAGTTTACGGCTTCTAGGGCTTGTTCTAATGCTTTTCTCGGTTGTGGAAATCCCCAGGTAAGTAAAATAGTGACTCAAGTTATCCCAGTAAACTGACGGGGAAGTAAATATATTTGTAACCGCAATCAACGTTTTGAGTTTCTGACAACAATTCTTAGTGTGAAGGTTGGCTGCCTTTAATGTGCATCCACTGAAAATAAAAATGCTAAAATTAGTTTTAAATACATACATTTGAAATAAGGATTTTGATGAAGTGTATTTTTAAAATGGTGAGATGAAACTATTACTGTATCAGATGTGATATTTATATGATTTTTTTAAGCCATCATTTATGCCATTTATTATTTGCCAGGCATTTTTTTTTTTTTTTTAAAGATTTTATTTATTTGACAGAGACACAGCGAGAGCGGGAACACAAGCAAGGGGAGTGAGAGAGGGAGAAGCAGGCCTCCCGCCGAGCAGGAAGCCCAACACGGGGCTCGATCCCAGGACCCTGGGATCATGACCTGAGCCGAAGGCAGGCGCTTAACGACTGAGCCACCCAGGTGCCCCTGTGCCAGGCACTTTAAATACTGATCTTCCTTGACTTATGATGGGGTTTTGTCCCAGTAAGTTGAAAGCACAGCAAGTCAGAAATACATTTAATGTACCTAACCTGCCCAACACCATAGCTTAACCTGGTTTACCTTAAACGTGCTTAGGACACTTAACGTTAGCCCACCGTTGGGCAATATTATCTCACATGAAGCCTATTTTATAATAAAGCGCTGAATATCTCATGTAATGTATTGAATTCTGTACTGAAAGTGAAAACAGAATGCTTGTCATTGTGTCCATTGTTAACCATGTGATCGCTGGCTGATTGGGAGCTGTGGTCCCATGCCACTGCCCAGCATCACGAGAGGACCTCTTTGCCTATGGCTAGCCCAGGAAAAGATCACTTCAAAATTCCAAGTGTCGTTTCTGCTGAGTGTGTATCACTTTCACACCATCGTGAAGTCAGAAAGTTTTAAGTCCAGCCATCGTTAAGTCAGGGGCTGTTGGTATATGAAATATTTCATCTTCTTAGAAGGGTTATGGTATTATCACACAGTTTAAAAAGTAGAGAGGGTACAGACTTATTAAACTTTCTTTACCAAAGTATGGTGTATTTGGTAGAAACACGGTATGGAGTGGATGGCTGAGTCAGGGTTTTCGGCCACCTTGATTCAGTAGCATGTCTGTTTAGCGTGTGTGATTGTATGTTGGAAATAGACCTGATGCTCTTATCTGAACAGATGTTACTGCCTTACCAGGTCCTTTGGACAGCTGAGACATTAAAACTCCTTGGTTTTAAAGATAGGCGCGTAGTGGTATTGATTTGAGTGGTTTTACTATAAAATAGAGAACTAGCATGAGTTTGAGCCATATTGACCCAACTACACATGCCTTCTGCACATGGTTTGTGCCCCACATCTGAGACAGTGCAGGTGTTGGTAGCTGTGTGTGTGTGTGAGAGTTGTTGGTTGGTGCTGGGTTAGGGTCTGTCGAACAGCCACGCTTGTCCTTGGCACTGTCCTGGTGCTTCCCTGTTCCAGCTGCGCCCCACCCCTTTAAGGTATGACTACGCATCTTAACAGTAAGGCGCTGATCTGCTTGATAGCTTGCGCTTAAATATGATTGTCTAAAATACCTGTATTGTTGGTGCCATCTGTAAGTTTCCCAAGTAATGCTGTCAGTTTCTTCTGGAACAGTTTCTCCTTTGTAACTTGGAATTTTTTTGTATCCTGCTTAGAAATTTTTAGCTCAATGATCAAGTATCACAGGTGTTTTTAGAGTACAGCTGAACGTCCATATGTAGTAGGCATGATGTCTGGACTATAATCTGTTCAGTGAGTGGTTTTGTATCAATAGGTGACCTTCAGAATTTACTGACAGTCGTATATCACATTTGTTGATGTGTACATACAGATAGCTTTCCCTAAACATTTTGCTAAGCTCCATTATGCTTGAGTGATCTAGGATACTTGACCTGTCATTGACCCGAGCCAGATTTACATGATTATGAACATATTTGACAACGAGAGCATGTTCGTTGGTGTGGCCGGACCAGGCACCTGAAGGAAGTCCTAGCCTGGCCCATTTCTTAATAAACCCCACATTTCATTTCTCACCAATGAACAGGAAGAGACAGAATATGTGGAACTTCTGGCAGCAGAAAAACATCAAGTTGAAGCTCTCAAAAATATGCAACATCAAAACAAAAGTTTATCCATACTTGATGAAATTCTTGAAGATGTGAGAAAGGCAGCCGATCGTCTAGAGGAAGAAATAGAAGAACATGCTTTTGATGACAATAAATCAGTAAGTAGCATTCCAGGACAATTTCCTCTTTGCTCGGGCTGCTTGCAGAGAGGATGTGTCGTTGAATTTGTTGGCATGTCTGTTTCTAGTGTGGATTGAAAATGAAGACAGAACCAAAACACCTGTGTCTCAGAAAGTGCTCTGGTTTGGTTATGCCAAGGTACACTAGATGCCCTTTACTTTGCCATATGTTTTTGTCACTGCCCCACCGGTGGCTCGTCTCTGTCCCACTTTTGCCTTCAGGGGGACTGGGACTCTGGTCTCAAGAAAGCTTGCCCTGGGACAGGCGGGTTTCAGTGCTGGTCTACCCAGGGGAGCCACAAAGTCCTTATAGCAATCATATCCTTGGCAGGCTTTCAGACCTCTCACTTGCTGTGACATGTTCAGGATTCTCTGGGGAAAATGAGATCAATGCCAAAAACTGATAGTGAGTCCTAAAAAGAACTCAGAAAAGCATGCGGTAATAAAAGCAAATGGGAACACAGCTCGGGGCAGATGAGCGCCAAGCAGGCTGCTCTCTGACGTCGTGGACCCTGGCAGGGAAGGAGGATGCATGAGTGTCTATTTGAAAGAATGTGCCCTTTATGCACTGCTCACCGAGCACTTCTGTGTCAGGCCATCGGGCTTTCCCTGCCACGTAATCCTGGAGTTCACTTCTGCCCCCGGCACCGTGGGTTAGTGTGGACCCTGCAGACAAGGGCGCAGCCCAACACGGCCCTCCATTTCAGATGCCAGTCACGGGTTCCAGGTTTTCACCTTGGAGGATCCCACACCCCCCTCCTCGGGTTCTCAGAACACAAGGAGATAGTTTATTTGCTAGGTTGCCAGGACATTGTGACGGATACAGCTCAGAAACAGCCAGCTGGAAGAGGGGTGAAAGCGTGTGGCTGCAGCATCCCTGCTCTCGGGCCTGTTTCCTTCCCTCCCAGCTGAACACCTCCATGTGCTGAGCAACCTGGAAGCTCTCCGAACCCCAAACTTCAAGGGTTTAATGGAAGCTGCCTTGTGTAGGCTGGTGATGAACTCAGCCTCTAGCCCCCCTCCTCCTGGAGGTCACATGGTCGGTTCCTTGGGTGGCCAGCCCCGTCCCGTGGGTAGCCAGTGGCTTTCTAAAAATCCCCTCACTGCTGTGAACTCAGGTGAAGTTGCAAAGGGCTCATAAGGTGCTCCTTACACATAGGAAATTACACGGGTTGTGGGAGCTGTCAGCCAGGAAGGGGGGTGAAGACCAAATATGTATTTCTTGTTACAGGTTGTACCCTGAGTCAAGTAGAGCAGGTGTTTGGAAATAATAGAAACCCTAAACACTTCCACCCTTAAATCACTTTTTTATTTGAAACAATTTTCCTAATTGATGTTAATGAGCATTTATCGATCTTTTATCTCATATGACAGAATACTAGAAACATTCCTGTCACTTCTCTATAGAATTATGCTCTAAAAATTGAACTTGAGAACGTCTCCTTGTTTTTAATTACACAATATTGGTTCTTCCTACAGGTGAAAGGGGTCAATTTTGAGGCAGTTCTCAGAGTAGAAGAAGAAGAGGCCAATTCCAAGCAAAACCTTACGAAGCGGGAAGTGGAAGATGATTTGGGTCTTAGCATGCTCATCGATTCCCAGAACAACCGATACATCTTGACCAAGCCTCGAGATGCCACGATTCCACGCGCAGATCACCACTTCCTAAAGGTGGTCTGTCTGTCTGCTCAGCTCTCAAAATCCCCACTCCCTCTTTCCCATTCCCTTGTATACATGTCAAGTGAGATCGAGCTTTACTTCCTGAGCATCATAATAGGGTGCGCGACCTTCCTCCTAACAGAGATTCTACCAGTGTTCTGTGACTTGAAACATTTTCTCCTGATCTTTAATTTTTTTCCAAAAGAATAAGGGAATAAGGCATTTTTTTAAAATTTTTATTTATTTATTCATGAGAGACAGAGGCAGAGGGAGAAGCAGGCTTCCCGCTGAGCGGAGAGCCCGATGTGAGGCTCGATCCCAGGACCCTGGGATCATGACCTGAGCCGAAGGCAGACGCTTAACCAACTGAGCCACCTAGGCGTCCCAGGAATAAGGCATTTTAATACTTAAAATGAGTATTAATTTTGCTTGTGAGAATTTGGAAGTCTTTTTGAAGTCGGGAGCTACTCTGACAGGCTCAGGCCCTGTCACTGAAATGGAACATCGGATGAAGCAGAGAGGCTTTGGCTCAGGTGTCGCATGTGGCTCTGTGTAGCCGTGGGTGCGGGATGAGACGCGGCTCCTCCAGAGGTGACTGGTGTTCCAGACTGAGCTAGACGCACATCTGTGCCCTCTGAGGAAGCCAGTCTAGTAAAGATTTGTAGTTGACAGTGTTATGGGTGGAGATCACGGCTTGGGTTGGGACCAGAGTGGGCAGCAGGTACAGGAGTGACCCAGGCAGCCTGCTCAGGGAAGGCCTGCGGGGTCGAGACACACTGTCAGGTCTCTAGCCTAGTCCTGGAAGCCGGAATTTGTGCTTTTCTTAAAGAGGATGGCAGCACAGGCTGGGAGGAAGGAGTGCTGGGCGCGGCTGACTCCTGTGCCGAGAAACTCAAACCAGGAAGGTCAGTCCTGGTACTGCCTGCCTTCATTATGACCAGAATGGAAACTGGGAGGGGCCGGGGCTGTAGAACATCTGCTTTCTCTGCTAACCAGCCCTGTCTCCTTGGCTTGCCAACTATTATCTTGAGTGTTTGTGTCTCTTTTTTGTTTATTCTGCTCCAGGACATTGTTACCATAGGAATGCTGTCTTTACCTTGTGGCTGGCTGTGCACAACAATAGGATTGCCTACGATGTTTGGTTATATCATCTGTGGAGTACTTCTGGGGCCTTCAGGACTAAACAGTATTAAGGTAAGAGCGAAATTGAACTGTTCTAGTATCTGTTTAACAGAATACTAAAGAAACACCAAGACTAAAGAGTTTTGAAGTTTGAACTTGAATTAAGGTAAGTTTCTTACAAACCATATCAAAGAAGATGCCCTATAAAGTTTCATAAGAAATTTCTAAACCATAAGGAGTAATTTTGTTCATTAGTGAATGGATGACTTGACTAGAGAAAAAATCCTGTTCATGTCTTTAAATTTTATTAGTTTTAGAAATTCTTTTTCCAGTAATAGGATGAACTATATTATTCAGACACTGAAAGCAACTCAAAATGCTGGATTCAATGTATAATCTAAAAATTTGTAACATATTTTAAAGCTGGTAAAGTAGTGAGGAATTATGAAGCCTAAATGTGGGGTATTGTGAAAACCCCAGGAGACAGTGCTGAGGCTGCTGTTACTAGAGGCTGTTTGCTGGACAGATTGAAGTGAGCTTCGTCCTGTGTCGATGGCCCTTTTTGGCAGTAAGGAAGGGTTCCCAAGCTTTTGTGGGCTCTAAAATGTGTTGTCTAAATACGCACAATTCAGACAAAATGAAAAGAGAATGCCAAGCCTGAGCATCATGAGTCCCACACAGAAGGAGTAGTACAGAGCGGTGAGAAACAAGCAGCAGAGTCCTCAGACTGTCCCTGGCCTTTCTAGCTGGGTAGAAGAGGGGCAGGCAGACAGGGAGAGGTGTGGGCGCTCCGCTTGCAGCCTCGCCCATACAGCTAACTGAGACGCCTTGCCAGGCAGAAGGACGGCTGCAGCTTCTCCAGACCGGGTCACAGAAGAAGGTGTGAAAAAAGTTCTTATCCCGAAGCAATCTTAACAGCGGGTCTGACTGGCTGAGGGGGCGGGGAAGGTTGTGCTTGGGCTCAAAGCCCAGGACCTTCATGGCAGGTGCTCTTGTGGGCTGGGCTCAACTTGGCAGGGTGACCTCTGGGAAGAATGGTTTTTGTTTTTGTTTTTTTTTTTAAAGCTTTATTTATGAGAGAGAGAGGGCACCGCAGAGGGAGAGAAGCTGACTCCTCACTAAGCGCAGAGCCTGATCTCTGAGATCATGACCTAAGCCTGAGATCATGACCTGAGCCAAAACCAAGAGTTAGACACTCAACCGACCGAGCCACCGACGCGCCCCTGGGAAGAATGGTTTGTTTTTTTTTTTTTTAAAGATTTTTTAAATTTATTTATTTGAGACAGACAGAATGAGAGAGAGAGAGAGCACATGAGAGGGGGGAGGGGCAGAGGCAGAAGCAGGCTCCCTGCTGAGCAGGGAGCCCGATGCGGGACTCGATCCAGGGACTCCAGGATCATGACCTGAGCCGAAGGCAGTCGCTTAACCAACTGAGCCACCCAGGCGCCCTGGGAAGAATGGTTTTAATGCAATTTTCTGAATAGATAATCTCCATGTGATTGAGAACAAAATGGTGTGGGTAAAAAAAAATAATTTTTAAGTTGTAGATGAAAAATCTCTTCTTGCCCTTGTTCCATCCCTCCCTTTCCAGAGTATTTACAAATGATAGCAAATACAAATGTATTTTCCTCTTTTATTTTTTTATTCACAGCAAGGCTGCTTGTAAGAATTAAGGCTGAGGGCGCCTGGGTGGCTCAGTCGTTAAGCGTCTGCCTTTGGCTCAGGTCATGATTCCAGGGTCCTGGGATCGAGCCCCGCATCAGGCTCCCTGCTTGGTGGGAAGCCTGCTTCTCCCTCTCCCACTCCCCCTGCTTGTGTTCCCTCTCTCACTGTCTGTCTCTCTGTCAAATAAATAAATAAAATCTTAAAAAAAAAAAAATTAAGGCTGAATAGGGGCACCTGGGTGGCTCAGTCGTTAAGTGTCTGCCTTCGGCTCAGGTCATGATCCCAGGATCCTGGGATCGAGTCCCACATCGGGCTCCCTGCTCAGCGGGAAGCCTGCTTCTCCCTCTCCCACTCCCCTTGCTTGTGTTCCCTCTCTCGCTCTGTCTCTCTCTGTCAAATAAATAAATAAAATCTTTAAAAAAAAAAAAGAAGGCTGAATAATAATAAGTAAAGGCTGAGTAAGGTAATAAATACAATTGGAAGCTACAAATATTACAATTCCTAACAAACAATTCCTATACCTTGGAAAATAATGTAATTACGGTAGACCAAGGTGAACCCTAGGGCACACCAGCCAGAAGTGGGAGGTGGTTCACTTCCTGTGATGGTGCCAAATATTTATCTTTTCCCAGTAGGAAGTTGATAGGCTTGTGTTCATTAAGTTGAGAAGAACAGGTTTAAGCATGTTACTTTGAAGTCATAGGTTACAGCTTCGTTTTAAAAAGGGAAGAGAAGTAAAGGCAGTGAGGAAACGTAAAAGCCAGGAGACAAAGGAGTAAGAGCAGAAATGCGTTGTCACAGTGAGTAGAAGTGGAATAAACTTCCCTGTTGAAAGATACAGGTTTGGGCGCCTGGGTGGCTCAGTTGGTTAAGCGACTGCCTTCGGCTCAGGTCATGATCCTGGAGTCCCTGGATCAAGTCCTGCATCGGGCTCCTTGCTTGGCAGGGAGTCTGCTTCTCCCTCTGACCTTGCCCCGTCTCATGTGCTCTCTCTCTCTCATTCTGTCTCTCTCAAATAAATAAATAAAATCTTAAAAAAAAAAAAGATACAGGTTTGCAGATGGAGTCAGGAAAAATGTACAGTAAGCAAGATTCAGTGAAAATGGGATGGGTAAGAAAGGTTGAAGTGAATGGAGGGAGATGGCAGTGAAGAAGAGGGCAGGGCCTGTCTTGTCGGCGGCTGGCAGGCTGCGTGAGTGTCCGTGCGCAGCAGGTCAGGGCGGGCGTGGACACGTGGAGGCCTGTGCTTTACTTTCAGATGTTCAGTTCACGGCTGCACTGGAAACCACAGTGTAAATAACACAGGTGGTACCAAATAGAACAGCATGGAAAGCATTCTCTACTATCGCATGATGGCAGAGGAAGTAAACAGCAAACGAAGAACCAGAACAAACAGGGAACACAAGAACACAGTGTCTCAAAACCTGTGGGATGTGGCCAGCTGTGGCACCCAGGGGAAAGTGGGTACACGTAGTCGTGCGCAGACCCTCGGGAGAGTGGGCCCTCGGGGTTCAGACGCCCCACTCAGGTTCGGTGCTGCGCCATCCTCCAGAGAAAGTGAAGGCAGGCAGAAATGAAGAGTAGCGGCAGCTGCTGAAACTGAAAACAGGTGACTTCATGAGCTAGTTCTTAGGAAAAAAGACCCAGAGTCCTTCAGCTAATCAAGAAAAAGGAAAACAGTACAATCAGGAAGTTCAAGTTATCTCAGATACAGAGGACATTCAAAGAGTTAGTTTAAAAAAAAACACTGTGCTTTTTTGGGGTGGTCCCACTGAGTATGTTAGTATAAGATTGTTCTGTGAAGTATACTTCAGAGGGGAAATACATTGAATTGTGTGGTTTTCCAATTGTGTTTGCAGTCTGTTGTGCAGGTGGAGACCTTGGGAGAGGTTGGTGTGTTCTTTACTCTGTTCCTCGTTGGCCTGGAGTTCTCCCCAGAAAGGCTGAGAAAGGTAAGGGCTTCACCAAGCGGTGTTGTTGCCTCCAATTTATCATCGTATGGATTCAGTTTGTTTACTTTCAGTGTGTGTCCATGATTGGACTATCAAATTAAACATTTTAGAATAGGTTTTAGTTTGATATTTTTGGAATGTAAATTCTGAAAGATAAAAAATGCTGGAAAAGGTGAAAATTCAATGCATAAATAAAATGAGCTTTCAGGTGGCTGATTTCCAAAAAGGGTCTGAGAAGTGATGTGTTTGAGATGTCGTAATGAGGTCCCTCCAAGAAGGTCCAACACTGCTCGAGGCTGAGCTGTCACAAGGATCAGATGTTCAGTGTGTTACCCTGGAAAAAGGTCTTTAATTCCTAAACAAGTGGCAAACTGTGATTCTGTCGTTCTGTCCCTGTAAAGTGCCAGTCCCTGGAAGGCCGGTCGCAGTTGGGACTGCGCGTGCGGAAACGGTGAAATCCAGGAAGTGCGCTCGCTCTGAGCGCTGAGGGCTGGAGTGGAGAGCGAGGGAGTCGGAAGGGAGCTAATGAGAAGCGCCTCCCTCACAGAGGAGGAAAGCAGCCAGGGGACAGAAGGGCAGGGCGGGCGACCGCAGTGCCCCAGGCCCCCAGGCCCGGCCGCGCAGGCCGCTTGGGCAGCAGGGCAGCCCGGCAGGGTGACTGACGAGCCTTAACCTGCCAGTGTGAATGCCAGCTCTCAGTCCGAGGGAAAGACTGCAGCACAAGTTTTTGAAAAAAATGAACCCACAAGAGGTGTTCACTCCGCATCATGGCGTTTCTATGACAGACGAGGAGCAGCCGGGTGCGGTGGTTGGGCTGCGGCGTGTGTGCTGGGAGAGGTGTCGAGAGCTGTGCGGTGACAAAGAAAAGTGCATTGGAGTGTCAGCCTTGTTTCATCCTGTTCCTCTCTGACCTCTCGTTTCTTTGCTGTTTCTTTCTGGGGAAAGCTCCATTTGTCCATCGCTGATTACTGTTACTTCCTTTAACGTGCTTCTCAAGATACGCCTTCTCATTCTGAATCACTTTAGTGTTTCCTCCAGGTATTTCATACCCTTCTGTGTGCTTCTGGCTTAACCCCCGTACGTGACTTCTCAGATCCAGAGTTGAAAGGACACTGCCCCGCTCCTCTGTTCGCTGTGCTGAGGGGGCCTGGCGGGGACCGGCAGGGTCTGCAAGGAGCCAGGGGCCTGTGGGCAGGAAGGTCCTCCTCGAGGCTGTCCCTACTTCGTGCTCAGCGCAGGCTCCTCCGGGGTCTCGTGTGTGTTTAGTTGAGTGCAGTTGACAGCAAACAGCTCAGTTCCCTTGTGGTTTGGGACCGAGAGGGGCAGAGTTCTGGCTGTGCATCGACTGGCCTGACGGTCTCAACGGAGTGCCTCACGCCTTGGACATCAGTGTCATCTACACAGGGGGTTGAAAGATTAAAGTTTGTTCTGGCTCTGCATTTTCATAATTTCTGTTTTTCACCACGGTAGTATTCAGTGTTAAGTGAGAATATTATTTAGCAGCACGTGAACATAGTTTTAAACAGTATGAAACCGCACGCCCTTGTCAACGTGGTGCTCCTTTTGGAGTGCTCTGGGCTTTCCACTGGCAGCCGTTTACCTCTGTGCTGGGCCGTGCACCCGCAGGAGGGTGAACGTGTGTGCGCGGTTCAGTTTCAGGTCGTGGGAGGTGGTCTGAGAAGTGGGAGGACGCTTGAACGGGGGCCCAGCCCCTGTGTAGCAACCTTGTCTCGGTTGAGCCGGGACCGCTCTGGCATGGATCCTCGCTTGTCAGCCCCCCGTGGCGGGCTTGCAGATTCATCTGTGCCTAGTAAGCGGCACTGCCAAGTGACACGTTTGTTTTCCTTTCCTGTTCCCCAGCGTAAGTCTCGGGCTCAGCTCCAGAGCAGCTGGAAGTAGCCAGCACAGTCTCGGGTCAGCCGTGTGCCCCGTCCTGGTGGGAAACCACTCGGTCGGGTTTGAAATAGTAATTGCTGGAAGGCCCCCTTAGGTCTCCTGTGAAATCACCGGAAGGTCTGATTGGAAGCTCTTGCAAGCACTGAGGTCTGGGAACTTCTTAGCTGTTGGCGCTGAGGAAAGCTGAGTCTTCCTCCCCTGACTGCACGTCCCACTGAGTTGCTGTGTCCCTGCCTGGCTGTGTTCTGTTTCCCTTCCCACCGTGGGCTCGGCTTTCATCGTGACACCTCCCCAGGTCTGTCTGTGTGGGAGTTGTGTCTTCTCCCCTTTTTCTCCTTATTCGTTCCCTCAGTTCCCTTGCTGCAGACACTGGTGGCTGCGGAATGTGAGGTGGTGTGCACAGGTGTGTGATCCTGCCTTGTGGGGCTTCCACCCTGGGATTTCAGAAGGACGTGTAGGGCTGTGAACAGAAGCCCTAGGACAGAGACGCGAAAATGGAGCTGGAAAGGGCATGTGTCTGTGGTCCAGATGCACGGGGAGGGGCCTGCCCTGACCTGGCTCGGGGAGTTACCTGGGGCCCTTGCTGAGTCAGGTTCTGATATGCGTGGCCCAAGGGTCTGTGTTTCTGGGAGTGCAGGGTGGTCCAGACGCTCTGTGTGGCCCACATTTCCCACCATCGTCCCCTCCACGCTGTGCTTCTTGGGCTGACAGATGCCCATCCTCCTCATCAAAGTGTGGTAGCGACCTCAGAAATCATTAGCCTGGCCTTTGTCTACAGATGGAGGAAGCAGAGTAGAGAGACCATTACCTACCCAAGGTGCACAGCCAGCCAGCCAGTGACAGGGTCAGGCCTGAGCTCCGAGCTCCGGGCTCCCTTACGGGCAGGAATGCCCCAGCTGCTTACAGGAGGGGCTACCTAAAACTTGGAAATCTTGGGGCGCCTGGGTGGCTCAGTCAGTGAAGTGTCTGCCTTCAGCTCAGGTCATGATCAGGTCCTGGGATTGAGTCCCGCATCGGGCTCCCTGCTCAGTAGGGAGTCTGCTTCTCCCCTTCTTTCCTGCTCATGCTCTCTCTCACTATCTCTGTCTCTCTCAAATAAATAAAACATTAAAAAATTGGAAATCTTAAAATCCAGCATGCCGCCTCCCCAGGAGCTGTGGCTAGCTCTGCAGGTGCGCCCGGGCCCTCCCACCAGTCCTGGCTGTCACAGGAAGAAGGAGAGCTGTTGGGAAGCTATTAGCCATGACGGCCATCGCCACTGCCAGGGGCAGGAAGTAAGGAGTGTGGAATCCGAACCTTGGCTTCTCTGGAAGGAGTACCGGGGCCTGGGTTGGCCAGAGCCGAGTGGCAGAGAACAGACCGCTCTGCCCTTAGGGCTGAGCCCCCAGTTCTGTTGCCTCTGAGTCTCCCGCCATTTGGCTTGGGACTTGGCGGTGTTGGGAGGCTCTTGTAATTCACTTCGGGAAGTTGGAAGCTTCTGTGGTGGACACGCAGCCTGGCAGCCAGTTATGGCTGTGGGGAGGTCCACGGTAGGAATCAGAACCCAGCCTTAGGAAGAGCCTCCCCGGTGCCCTGATTCCCAAAGACAGTGCTGTGATTTTGAGGGAAGGGTAGCTTTTTACCAAGAGGCAGAGCAGGGGAGGAAAAGGCCACAGCCTTCGGAGCCCCGAAAGGTGAATGGTGTGTTAACACGCTGATGAGGCTGGCCAGCCTGTGGGGCCTCGAGCGTTGTTGGCCTCAGAGCCTCTGCGCTGAGCCCCTCCTGCCCCCACTCTGGGCCCCCCTACGTTCTTGCCAGAGGGCTTGGGTGTGGGAGCTGGTTTTGCCTAAGAGGGTGTGGGGCGAGAAGAAAAGAAACAGGTGCTTTCCAGTAGGATAGGATGAGTGTCAGGATGATTTCTTTTGTCAGTATGTACCATTCCTGTTTGTATAAATGTCAGATAGTCTTTATTACTGTGTCTCTTCAACACAGTTGAAAACCCTGGAGAGTTAGCATCAAACCTGATTTCCTCCACATTTTCCATCACTTCTAACACAGCGCTAAGAAAACACTGAGGTGCCTCATCGGTATTTGATTATTGAGCCGTGCTGGCTTCCATGGGACCACGTGTTTTCATCTGGGGAAGTCCGCCGTGGAGACGTGTTGTGAGGATTAGGTTATACGTGCACGGACATGTATACACGGAGAGAGGCGTGTGTTTCGTCCCTGTGGCAACACCGAGCACTCAGGAAGCCGACAGGAATGGTCACTGTTTTTACTGTGTTCAGATCACGGCTTCGGATATTGTGCTGATGGGGTGTTTACGGCAGAGCGCCTTCCTGAGAGATGGAGGCCCACGAGCGGGCAGTGTGTGCTCTGCATGTCGTCACTAATGTGTGTGAACAAATGTGTTCTTTTGAAGGTGTGGAAGATAGCCTTACAAGGACCGTGTTATATGACGCTGTTAATGATCGCATTTGGCTTGTTATGGGGACACCTTTTACAGATCAGACCCACTCAGAGCGTCTTTATTTCTACTTGCTTGTCCTTATCGAGCACACCCTTGGTGTCCAGATTCCTCGTGGGCAGCGCCCGGGGTGAAAAAGAAGGTAGGTGGTGCTGTGCTGTAAGTATGTGTTGAAGTATTAGGTGTGTCATTGACTTGAATTCACTCGAAGGCCTTCTGGAAAAGCTACAGCTCTGCCTCCGTCCTTGCAGCCCTCTTGGCAGTCACAGTGTTCAGCTTTTCCAAATCTCCACTGGACTAAGAAAGTGGTACTTACATGTTTATTAATTTAGGATAGTTTGAGGACCACGTTCAAAAGAAATGAGTCCATGTTGGAAAATGGAAATTGGTGGTTTAGGAGGTGAGCGTGCCGCACCCGAGCCGGCGCTGTGCTCACGTGACGTCGCCGAGTGCGTCCGACCTGCGGCCTGAAACAGAACGGCGCCAACCCTGGCCGGGGCTGGAGACTCACATGCTCCTGTAACGTACAGTAATCGAAGGCATCTTCAGCCCTCAGGTACCGCCAGCTTCAGCTCTGTGCGTGAGACTCTGGCCTCTGATCGTTACTGGACGTGTTGAAGCCCGACTGCGTCAGAAGCTTAGGGGAGAACATTCCAGGCTGCCTCACGGGGCACAGCTGCGCTTCGACCACCTGCCATTTTTTACATCGTGTGAACTCATTATGGTGATGTTCACTGCTTTGTTTTTATTTTGTAAAGGAAAAAAACAGGGTTGAAATGTTGTAGTAACCTCACACTGATATTTGCCTGCACCAATACAGCAATGAGAGGGAAACATGAAAAGGGAAAACCAGAGCCCTGGGGCAGGCTTCTCTGATAAGGCTTCTCTGTTACAGCCTGTGTAACAGCATGTTCATGATGAAAAGACTCAATGCATAAAGACATTGTTTCTCCCAAATTTATAAATTCCCAGCTATCCCAGTAAAGAAATCTCGCAGGGTTTTTCATGAAACTTGGCAAACTGAGCCTACAGTTTATTGAAGAGCAAAGGCCAAGAATAGCCAAGAATAACTAGAAGTGAGGGGCTTGTGCAGCAGATGGCAAAGCCCTGAGGTCCTATCCTGTGCTCGGCAGCTCGGCGTGTCCAGACTGGATGGGGGAGAAGGGGGAGGGGCAGCCAGGTGCGCACATGCATGGGAGCCTGGGGGCTGCTGGGGGGTGGGAATTAGTTGTCCATGCGGACGAATAAAATCAGAGTCCTCCCTTGAGCCACACACACAAACCAGCTCAGTGTGGGTTAAACACCTCAATGTGAAGGGCAGAACTTCAGAGCCTGCTGGAGAGAAATATGGGAAATACCCTGTGACCTTAGGGTAGAGAGAATCGCTGAAATCGAGATGCAGAATCCAAAAGAAAAAAATGTTGACAAACCTGAACACATTGAACCTTGTAAAACTTCTATTAAAAAGGCATTTTTTAGGGCACCTGGGTGGCTCAGTTGTTAAGCGTCTGCCTTCGGCTCAGGTCATGATCCCAGGGTCCTGGGATCAAGCCCCGCATCAGGCTCCCTGCTTGGTGGGGAGTCTGCTTCTCCCTCTCCCTCTCTCTCCCTCTGTGTGCCTACTCTCTCTCTCTCTTAAATAAATAAGTAAAATCTTAAAAAAAAAAAAAAAGGCGTTTTTTAGAAGCTGCAGACTAGGAGAAGACGTTTGCTATGTATATAAGAGGTGCAAGGAGGAGATACTTCGAACGCATCAAGAACTTTAACAGCAATCAAAACAAAAGGAAACCCAGTTGGAAAATAGGCAAAACGTCCTGGTGGAGAACTCAGGGAAGAGAAGATGTGCGTGATGAGTAACCATGAAGAAGGGCTCAGCAGTGGTTAGGGGAAGGCAGGTGCGGGCTGCTCGTCACATGTGCTGGCCTGGAGTCTCCTCCGCGTGCCTGTGTTGGCAGGACTGTGGGCTCTCACGCGCTGTCAGTGGGAGTGGGGGCTGGGTCAGTCACTTTGGGGAGCACTGCCACAAGCAGACTTTCCATTTCTAGAGACACGTCCTAGAAGGCTCTTCAAATGTGAAAGAATATTCAAAACAATTATTTTTCTTAAGATTTTACTTGAGCGAGAGGGAGCACAAGCAGGGGGAGGGGCAGAGGGAGAAGCAGACTGCTTGCTGAGTGGGGAGCCCCATCAGGACGCGGACTCAATCCCAAGACCCTTGGGATCATGACCTGAGCCAAAGGAAGATGCTTAACCGACTGAGCCACCCAGGCGCCCCAAAGCAATTATTTTTGATAGCAAAAAATTTTAAGTAATCTGAGTCTTTAGTAATACAACGAGCAGTTAAATTATGGTGTTTTCATATCTACTGGAGTACTACAGATGTAAAAATGAATTAATCATTATGCCGTGAAGAAGAAATACAAAATACAGAAGACGTCTCATCCAATATAATTTATGGAAAGTTTGAAATTGTGCAAAGCTGTGTCCTCAAAGCTGCACCCCGAGAGCAGAAGCAGTGCATGCCCGAGGGTGACGCCCTGCCTCTTCACACGTGGCTGTGGTGTTGCCCAGATCCTCCTTTTCCACTTCTCAAGATTTCAAGCTAGTACATTGGATAGTGGGACCCAGACCCCCAAGGGGTCAGTAGATCGCTCCAGCCTTCCATGCCCGTGCTCAGAACCCACAGAACGACGAAGGGTCAGGCAGCCTGAGGTCATGGTAGCAGCTTGACTATGATGAAAGTGATAGAAGATGTGGTGGTGGCTTTTGGTCCCTGTTCCCAGAATGAGACTTGCTATCAGCCACGTGCTGTGTGGACCCACAGAGTCTCTCTCTGTCAAATAAATAAATAAAATATTAAAAAAAAAAAAAAATCTGAACCGAGTGTCTCCAAAGTTTACAGTTTAGCAAAGCACGGTAATGGGTATGTGGTTATTCATCATATTCTTTATTTTCCTTACATTTAAAGTATTTAATAAAAAGGATAGAAAACAGGAAAGAAAGAAATGCTATAGTAGTGATAAGCACAAAAATTAACCTTAGTGCAAAATACAGTTTTATTGAAAGTGGTATCTTTAATTTTTAATAGTTAAGTCTGAGTAATTACTTTCACCTGGGTCTCGACTGTACAGCTTACCTTTCCCATCAGTCACTACAGTGGGTGCGCGGCTCTCCCACGTCTTTCCCTTCCGGCTCAGTGAGCTGCTTCTCTGCAGGGGCTTCCTGAGAACCTGTTCCCTGTTGCCTGCCCCCTGGTGGCAGATAGTTCATGCTCGCTGAATTAAGACCTTGGACTGTGAACAAAGAACAGAATTTAAAAAAACATTTAGAAGATGCTGGCAGTGTATCGTCAAATGCCATTTCTAAAAAGTAAGGTGTGACTGGATATTTTGTATTTCCTCAAAGTCAAGAAGAAGCACCCTCCTGGGCACAGGGCTGAACTACCTTAATCTTGTGTGAGGACTTGGGGAGGAAGACGGCCGTCTCATTGCAAGCACGGGACCTAGCAGATTTCCCAAGGTCAAGAGAGTCAGGAGTCATGAACCCGCTGAGGTGTTTGTTGAAAGTGTCCCACGCCTCCATTATTTGTTGTGAGGGAAGGATTCCTGCCTACTAAGATGTGCAACCCCCAAGGACACAGTAACAACCTGATGGGATTATCTGTTCAGAGTGGTGTAAGAACTAAGGCAAGATACTCTGTTCACCAAAAATTTAACTGCGTGGAAAAGAAAAGAAGCTTCCTGGAAGGATCAAGTGTGACTTTTGCTCTGGTGATAAGGGATTTTTATTTTATTTAGTTTGTTCATTCTTTTTCTTTTCCATAAGGTTACGCCTATTAGATTGGCCCTTAAATATCTGTTCTTACGAGTAGCTTTTTTTTTGTTTAAGGAAAAAAAAAAGCTTATTTTACGGGATTGGGGGTGAGGAACATGACAATTAAGTGTTTAGAAACACCTTTGAAAGTTTGGTCCAGGGGCGCCTGGGTGGCCAGCCAGTTAATTGTCTTCCTTTGGCTCAGGTCATGATCCCAGGGTCCTGGGATCGAGCCCCGCTTTGGGCTTCCTTGCCCAGTGGGGAGCATGCTTCTCCCTCTGCCTCTGCCGCTTCCCCCTACTTATGCTTTTTCCCTCACTCTCTCAAATTAAATAAAATCTTTTTTTTTTTTTAAGATTTTATTTATTTATTTGAGAGAGCGAGAATGAGAGAGAGCATGAGAGGGAGGAGGGTCAGAGGGAGAAGCAGACTCCCTGCCGAGCAGGGAGCCCGATGCGGGACTCGATCCCGGGACTCCAGGATCATGACCTGAGCCGAAGGCAGTTGCTTAACCAACTGAGCCACCCAGGCGCCCTTTTTTTTTTTTTTAAGATTTTATTTATTTATTCATGAGAGACAGAGGGAGAGAGAGAGGCAGAGGGAGAAGCAGGCTCCCAAGGAGCAGGGAGCCCGATGCGGGACTCGATCCCAGGACGCTGGGATCATGACCTGAGCCGAAGGCAGACGCTTAACCATCTGAGCCACCCAGGCGCCCTAAACAAATAAAATCTTAAAAAAAAAAAAGTTTGGTCCAAAGCCAGAACTGCTGGTTGGAAATGGAGATGTCGGAGGCCCACGTGACGCATTGAGTTGGGGAAAATGGTCTCTGTGTCCTGTTGTCTTTGTAGAGGAGTGGTGGCTTCCCTTCAGGCAGCCCTGGGTACTGCCTTTCTGTTCGTCCACCTGGTGAGCCCGTGTTTCTCTAGTAGATCTGTGTTTGTCTCAGGGACAGATGCTCAGTGTGGCAGTGATAGTGGGCTGGAGGTGCGACCAGAAGGGGGCGAGGCCAGGTCTCCCGAATAGCTTAGCGGAGCCATAAAGGCTGGACATGAAGGCTGCTTCCTATGTTCTGGGGACGCAGAGTGAAATTGGCTGTCCAGGCCCGTCATAGTCACGTCCCAAGCCTTCTTTTTATGATGGCATTTTTTCTGTAATTATATGAGTAAACTGTAGTAGAAATGAAATAAACGAGATTTTCTTTACAAAAAGTTAATGTTTAAGATGTTTCAGTGTTTGCTCTCAAAGAGATTTTAAAGTCTGTACTCTGTTAAAGTATCAAAATTACTTGAATTATTTTGGAAATGTGCACAACGATTGTATTTCGACTTGGGACACTTTAAATCATTATAAACCTGTGCCACTGACAGGTTTTTCCTCCAGCAGGTGACATCGACTACAGCGCGGTGCTGCTTGGGATGCTCGTCGTGCAGGACGTGCAGCTGGGCTTGTTCATAGCTGGCATGCCCACCCTTATCCAAGCTGCAGCCGGTACCTACTCCAGGTCAGTGTGCCACGTGGCTTCATCGCACAGTCTGGGCTTCTAGTTTCCCATCATCTGTTTATAAAGATGCTATTTAATGCCTTTTTCTGAAGAGATGTTCAGAGCTTGTGTGGCGCAGACTGAGAGCTTAGACTCTGGAGTCTAGCTGCCTGGGCTCCCGCTCCATCTGTCAACCTTGGGCAAGCTCTTTAACCTCTCTTCCTCAGTTTTGTCATCTAGAAAGTGAGGGTGAGGTCACTCCCTAACAGAGTAGTTAGGATTAAATGGGTTACAATATAAATGTGCTTAGAACAATGCCTGGAACATGGGGTGTGTGTGTGTGTGACCATGTGCGTGATTGCGTGTGCGCATGTATGTGATTGTGCCACGTGTGTGAGCATGCATGCACGCCATCATTGTGGGGATCTATCATTGTTAGTATTGTGTGCGTGATTGCGTGTGTGCATGTATGTGATTGTGCACGTGCGTGAGCGTGCATGCTCACCATCGTTGTGGGGATCTATCATTGTCTCCACCGTTACCATTTCGCCTGATCCTTCTTTCCCTTCTTCCAATAAAATAATACCAAAACCTGAACTGCACTTGCTTAGGTTCATGTGCAGAGAGAAGTCAAATTGAAAAGTGGAAAAATAAATGTATCCAGAAAGTCATAGGTTGCATGGTGTATAGAACCTATTACAAGAACACCAGCCAGAAAATAAATCACTTGGAAAATGTGAGGAGCCTCATAAAATTTAAAGGTAAATTACACATGGGTTAGGACTATAAGCTTGAGTTTGTTTTAAGCAAATACACTATGTGCATGTAAATATTGGGCTTTGAGTGTTTCCAGGTGCTACATTTATTCTTCATGTCTCGCAGTGATGATACCATAGGTCACAAGTTAATAGGCTTTTTTGAAATTTCTTTTGGAACGACCTTGAAATGCCGAGATCTGTCATTTCATTTATTTGTTCCTTTCTAATCTGTATGCCTTTTATTTCTTCTTCTTCCCTTACTTCACTGGCTAGCATTTCCAGTACTTTGTTGAGTAACATGAGAGTGGATGTTTCTGCCTTTTTCCTCATTTTAGAGGGAAAGCATCCACTCTTTCGCCATTAAGTGTGATGTTCACTGTGGGGTTTTTGTAGATGTTCTTTATCAATTTAAGGAATTCCCTTCTGAGTTTGCTGAGAGTTTTTATTGTTAGTGCATGTTGGATTTTGTCAAAAGCTTTTTCCACGTCTGTTGATACGATTGTATGGTTTTTCTTCTTTAGCCAGTTGATACAGTGGATTACATCGACAGTCAGACCAGCCTTGAATACCTAGAATGAATCCCACCTTGCAGGGGTTGTGGTATTTAATTCTTTTTATACATTTTATACAATTAGCTAATACTTTGTTGAGAATTTTTATGTCTGAGTTCACGATAGGTATTGATGTGTAGCTTTTATGGTAATCTCCTTTTCTGGTTTTGGTATTAGGATAATTCGCGGTTCATAAAATGATTTGGGACATGTTCCTTCTCTCTCTGTTTTCTGGAAAATGTTGTATAAAACTGTTAATTCTTCCTTAAATATTTGGTAGAATTCTCTAGTGAAACCACCTGGGTCTTGAGATTTCTTTGGGGAGATTTTTCTTAAATTACAAATTCAATTTGCTTAGTGGTTAATAAGGCTGTTCAAATTATCTGCTACATTTTGTTGAATTATGGTAGCTTGGTTTTTCAGAGTTGGTCCATTCCATTTCATTTGTTAAATTTATATGTGTAGAATTGCTTATAATGTTCCTTTATCATCCTTTTGATGTCTGTAGGATCTGTTTTGCTCCTCATGTTGGTAACTTGCATCTTCTCTCTCTTTTCCTTTGTCAGTCTTTCTAGAGGTTTGGCAGTTTTATTAATTGCTTCAAATTACCACCTCTTTGTTTCATTAGTTTTTCTCTTTGTTTTTCTGTTTTTAATTTCATTGGTTTCTACCCCTTTCCCCCCGTATTCTTTTCCCTTCCTCCTTTCCATTTTTTCCCCTTAGCTTTGAATTTATTTTGCTCTTGTATTTTTCTAGGTTCTTGTGCTGTGAACGTAGATTATTGATTTGAAACCTTTTTTCTTTTCTACTGTACTTAGCGCTACAAATTTTCCTTGCAACACTGTCTTAGCTGCATTTCTTTTATTGTGATACATTGTATTTTTATCTTCATTCAGTTCAGTTAATGTAAAACATTTCCTTTGATGCTTCCTCTTTGACCCATGGATTATTTAGAAGTCTGTTGCTTAATTTCCAAGTGTTTATGGAGATTTTCCTGTTGTCTTTTATCTTACTGATTTCTAGTTTGATTCCACTGTGGTCACAAAACAAACACACTTTGTATGATTTTAAATCTTTTAAATTTGTTGGGGTTTGTCTTGTGGCCTCAGATACGGTCTGTGATAAGTGCTCCCAAGTCACTTGAAAACAAAATGTATATTCTGACGTTGAGTGGAGGTTTTTTGTTTTTTTTTTTTTTTGTCAAATCCTGTTTGTTCACCGCATTGTTCAGTTTTTCTCTATTCTTGCTGTGGTTCCAACAATTGTTGAGGAAGGTGGTTATTAACATCCCCAATTATAATTGTTTATTTGTCTATCTCTTCTTCTAGCTCTATCAGCTTTTGCTTTATGTATTTTGGGGCTGTTTTGTTTGGTGCATACATTTTGTCTTCCGGGTAGATAGATCTTGTTATCTTATGTAGTATTTCTTTTATTTCTAGTGATTTTCCTTATTCTGAAATTCACTTTATCTGATATTAATATAGCCAGTCCTGCTTGTTCTTTATTAATGTCTACAGTGGTCTGTCTTTTCCATCTTCTTACTGTCAGTCTGTTTATGCCATTGTATTTGAAATGAGTTTCGTATAGACAAGGTATTGCTAATGATTTTTTTTAATCAACTCTGTCTTAATTAGTGTTGAAACCATTTGCATTTAAGGTAAATATTGATGTTAGGACTTAAGTCTCTTGTTTTGTTATTTGTTTTCTGTTTCTTGTTCCTCTTTTACATTTTTCTTACCTCCTTGTGGGTTACTTGCATATTTTTAAGGATTGCATGTTTTTGAGTGTATTACTTTGTATAGTTACTTTAGTAGCTACTCTGAGCACTACGGTACACACGTTACCATAATCAGCTTGCTGTTGTTGACACTTCACCTGTTCTTGTGAAATGTAGGAACCCTATTTCCATTTAGTTCCCTTTCTTCTCCCTACTTCTTAAATATAATTGTTGTATTTTCCCTACTTATATTGAGCACCATATCAGATGGGTTTATTAACTTTGCTTCAATAATCGAATAGGATTTTTAAACTCATGAGGATTATCTATTATATTTTCACCAGTTCTTTTATTCTTACTTGCTTCCTTGAGATAATTTCTTTTCTGTCTGAGGACTTTTCTTTGGTCATTCTTTCATATTTAGTCTGCTTCTGGTGGCAAATTCTCATAGTTTTTCTTCATCTGAGAACATTTTATCTCCCCTCATTCTTGAAGGACATTTTCACAAGATACGGATTTTGCAGTTGACAGTTCTTTTCTTCAACACTTGAAAAATGTGCTACTTCTCTGGCCCCCAATGGCTTCAATGAGAAATTGGCTGCCATTCAAATTTGTGTTTTTTCCAAACACAAGTTACAGAGAATTACTCACTTAAAGGAGTAGTTTCTCACTGGTTGTTTTTAAGATTCATTCTTTGTTTTTAGTTTTCAGAAATCTAACTGTGGTGCATCTTGGTGTCTTCATTGGTTCAGCTCCTCTAACAACACCACAGACAAATTTTCTCACAGTCTCATGGCTGGATGTCTGAGATCAGGTGCTGGCAGATTCAGTTCTTGACCAGAGCTCGCTTTCACACAGCTGTCCTCTTGCTGTGTCCTCACGTGGCAGAGGGTGCGCAGCGCAGAAGGTCTCTGGTCTTTTATGATGAGGGCACTGACCCCACCTCAGGGCCTCAGCCTCGTGATCCACCTAATCCTAATCACCTTCCAGGGGTCCCTCCTCCTAACACCATCATGTCAGGACTTCACATAGGAATGGAGGGGGGAGTGGTACATTCAATCCGTAACACTCTGGGTGTATCCTATTTGGAGTTTGCTTGGCTTCTTGAATCTGTAGGTTTGTGTCTCTTGACTGATTTAGAATTTTTCAGCCATTGTTTCCTCAAATATTGTTTCAGTCCCACATGCTCTCCCCTGCTAGGACTCCAGAGGTTTTATTACGTCCCACAGGCCTCTGAAATGACTTTTTTTTTTCCTATTTTCTCTCTGTTGTTCAGACCAGGTAAATTCTGTTAATCTGTCCTTAAATTCACAGATTCTGTCCTCTTTCTTCACTCTATTTAACCCACCCAGCAAGATTTTTATTTTTGTTATTACAGTTGACGAATGAACAATGCTAGTTTGAACTATGTGGGTCCACGGATATACATAGGACGGTGCTGTAAACATATTTTATTTTCCTTATAACGTTTTAATACCATATTTTTTCCTATACCAACTTTATTGTAAGAATATAATATATATAAAAAAAAGAATATAATATATAATTCATACACACAATATGTGTTAATCGACTGTCATCAGTAAGGCTTCTGGTCAATAGTAGGCTATTAGTTTTAGGAGGAGTCAAAAATTATATGCAGATTTTTGACTGTGCAGATGGTTGGTATCCCCCAACCCCCACGTTGTTCAAAGGTCAACTGTATATTGTTTGGTTGTATGATTTCCATTTGGTCCTCCTTTTTATGACTTCTGTTTCTTTACTGAGATTTTCTATATTTTCATTTCTTTCAAGAGAATTTTTAATTGCTGTTGAATCCTATTTTTGATGGCTGCTTAAAATCTTTGTCAGATAATTCTAATAAAATTCACCTTGATGTTTACCTTTTGTCAGATGTTATATTAAGTTTCAGCAATCCTAAAATGATTAAGATCTCTTCTCTGCCTGGCAGGGAAAGTAGAAGAAATGAATAGCTTTTGAACTGAGATTTCCAGAGGTTAAGGCTCAGGCCCTAGAGCTCCAGCACTGGCCACTTACCAGCCTTGCAATCTCTAGGCTTCAGTTTTCTCCCTGAAAACGGGGATGGGGTGGGGCGCCTGGCTGTCTCAGTCGTGGAACGTGTGACTCGTGATCTTGGGCTGGGGGTTCGAGCCCCACGTTGGGTGTAGAGATTATTTAAAGAATAAAATCTTAAAAAAAAACAGTGGGGATGGTATGGAAATAGTACCTGCCTCATGGGCTGTGTGAAGGTTGCAGGAGAGAATCCTGCAGAGGGTCTAGGTCACTACCTGGTGGATAGAACTGTTAGTCAGTTTATTGAGAGGGCCCTCTTGTCATTTTCCTCTGATTCAGATTTTTTTTAACTATCAGAAAAGTAACACTTCTCCTCACAACCTGTAACTCAGAGCCAGTTCTTTTTCCTTCTGGCTACAGATTTTCAATATCAGTAACTGAGCAAACTTTGGACAGCAAAGGAAGATTTGCAACTTTAGTTGAAAAGCATTGGCGTTCTATTCAAGAAGTGTACAGTGAATCCTGACCTGCAGAGGTGAGAGTCTCCTTCCCAAATGGGAAGCAGAGCCTCCACACAGAGCTGCAGGTACAGCTGCCACCGTAGGACACGTCTCAGGAAGCTTCGGGAAGTTTTCTGTTTTTCCAGTTAAAAAATCCAGTATGTGTATTGATCCTATTGATATTACTCCCCTTTAGCCACGAGACATAATAGTTTCAATGATGTAGAAAAGATGTTCTATATTATGTTAATCTGTAAAAAATGGAGTCAGATCATACACAGTATTCCTCAGAAGGTTAATAGAGTTGCCCAAAGACTCAGCTGTTCCAGTCCAAGGTGTTTACCCAAGAGAAGTGGAGACGTCTGTCCACATAAAAGCCTGTGTGTGGGGGTGATCGTAGCACAACAGGGTTTACGTCCTTGACGCCACAAGTTACATACTTTAAAATGGTTCAGGTGGTAATTCTGTGTTATCAGTATCTTACCCCAATAAAAAATACCAAACTTGTGTATGAATGTCCATAGCGGCTTTATTCATAATTGCTGAAAAGCGGACACTCACATGTCCATTAGCTACTGACTGGATAGAGTGCTGCGACCACACAGCGGGATGTTCAGCCGCGGGGCAAGGGATGGAGCCCTGACACAGGCCACGTACAACCCCACGAACCTCGACGACATCACGCTTACGAAGGAAGCAGACACACAGGCCACATACCATGTGATCCCACTTATGTGAGGCGTCCAGAACAGGCAAATCCACAGACAGGAAGTAGATCAGTGGCTGTCAGGAACGCTGATGGATGGTAAATACACTCTGAAGCAAACAGTGGTGGTGGGCACACACCTCAGTGAGCATACTAGAAACCACTGAAGTGTGCACTTTATTTTCTTTTTTAAAGATTTATTTATTTATTTTAGAGATCGTGCACAAGCAGAGGGAGAGGCAGAGGGAGGGGGAGAAGCAGGCTCCCCGCTGAGCAGGGAGCCCAATGCGAGGCTGGATCCCAGGACCCTGGGATCGTGGCCTGAGCCGAAGGCAGACACTCAACCAACTGAGCCACCTAGAGAATACTTTTTAAAAATAGTGGTTTAGGGCGCCTGGGTGGCTCAGTCATTGAGCGTCTGCCTTTGGCTCAGGTCATGATCCTGGAGTCCCTGGATCGAGTCCCGCATCAGGCTCCCTGCTCAGCGGGGAGTCTGCTTCTCCCTCTCACCCTCCCCCCTCTCATGTGCTCTCTCTCATTCTCTCTCTCTCAAATAAGTAAATAAAATCTTTGAAAAAAAAATAGTGGTTTAAATTACTAAATCTTGCAAGATCATGAAAATTCTAGAAGAAAGTATGGATGGATTTGTTTAAAATATTGAAGATGGAGGCCCTCGGCTTCAAGTAGAGCAGAAATTCCAGAAGCCATAAAGGACAGGAAAAGTGATCAGTGTTACTGCATGAAAGTTTTATACTGTGGGTATTTGAGTATACACATACACATGTGCTTGTAAATACACATGTGTGCGCACACATGTGCACACGTGCTCTGAAATGTGCAGGTACACATTTTGTAAGCAGGCCAAAAACAAATGGGAAAAGTATTTGTAAACACATCAAAGAGAGTTAAGTCTCTTACTTCATGAAGATCTACAAATTAGTAAGGAAACTTTGAATAGCCCAGTTAAAAAATAGGTGAGCAGCGAACCTAGAAATGAGCAAATGGAAGATGCTCACGCTGCCACATAAGGCAGGAGGCATCTTCTACCCATCAGACTGCAGACCCTTTTAAAAGTGGGGTGATAGGGCGCAGCTCCAGTGCTCAGGGCAGAGAGGTGAGCCGAGTGTTTGGGGAGGATAATGAGCAGTGAGTGCATGAGCGGTCACCAGAAGGGCTCTGGTCAGGTAAGTGTGCAGAGGACCGGAGTAGGGTGAGGAGTGGCGGACAATGGACGGCCACGTCACATTGGCAGGGCCTCTGAGTTGGAAACACAGGGCGCCATGGGGTGGCGGGGAGCCCCCGAGGTGGGGGCCTGGTGCACAGGTTCTGCCTGCCGGAGGGAAGGTGGGCCTCCAGAGAACAGAGGCTGCTGTGGGTGCAGGAGGGGGCAGTTGCACTGGGCCAGGAAGCCTGGGCTTGTCTGGTATTGCCAGGGTGGTCTGGCCTCTGGAGCATCACGAGACCAATTAGGTTAGTGCAGCCTTGTGGGCAGGTGACGGCACCTCGGGGAGGAGTGTGGGGTGCCGGGCCCAGGGCAGGTGCCGCATGAATGGGGTGGGAAGACTGGCCGGGGAGTGAGGTGGACCCAGCCTGCTTCGCTCTGTGCAGGCCTGCCAGGGCTGCAGACCCCAGGTCCACATGCCTGCCTCCCTCTCGGTGAACCCTCGTGGAGCCTTCCCCCGACATGATCAGTCGTGTGGCATGGCTGCTACTTCAGGCTTTGACTGCAGTGATGCATCCTCTCCTAGTAATCAGATCTGTATTCTTCCATTGGGAACTTTTAAACCAGAATTCTAGACTAGATAAGTTTCCTAAATATGATGGAGAACTAAGTTTTTAAAAACTAATTAAATAAAAAATATGTATACTCATTGTAAATAAACATGCAATAGTGCCCTTCTTAAAGTTTTTGACTGCGATCTTAAGAATTCGTTCTGCGAGGTAAATAGCATGTCCTAAAAAGAGCTTCGGACAGAATCCTGTTCTCTGAGACTAAACAGACACAAAATGCGGAGTTCTGGCTCGGCCACGAGGAGCTGTTTTGCTGCGGGTCGCTGGGGTTCTGTCTCCGTGCTGCCAGTGCAGAGCTTGCGGGGTGACAGTTGCCTCAGGAGGAATTCCCAGTGGGCGTTAGTTCCTGGTGAGGGATTTTGTTAGTCACAGAGCTGTTTGAGCGGCGGCCAGGAGTCCTCATACTCTGTAAGATGTGTTTGTTTCACAGCTGACGGCAAAGCAGCCACTTCCATATTCGATTCAGATAACTTAAATTGAACCAAGGTACTTAGAATTAATGTGATTGATAGGTTTTTAGTGTTTGGAAATAAAAATGTGATTTGGGAAATTTATTTTGTAACGTATCAAAGAAAAACGAGTGAAAGCCCATTTTATGGGGTGTTAGGTAGGGAAATGTGTTTCGGAGGTGAAATGACATTCGTTTCTTCTCTCCTAGTGTTGTCATGGAGACCCTGCGGATCCTGGCTTTGGTCGGTCAGATCCTCTTCTCACTAGCTGCTGCTTTTCTTCTGTGTCTTGTTATAAAGACTTACCTCATTGGACCATATTATCGGAAACTGCACATGGAAAGCAAAGGGAACAAAGAAATCCTTATCTTAGGAATCTCTGCTTTCATCTTTTTAATGTTAATGGTAATTCTCAAAATACCTGTTATTTATATACTCTGACTTGTAATCTGTTCGCTGAAAGCTTATGATCAGTTCTTTATCTTTTTATTTCAATAATAGTTAAAATATTTGAAACACATGGTCGTATTTTTATTTTCTGTCCAGTCATCACTCTACCCCCTCAGTATTAGTACAGCAAGCTAAACTGTTTGCTCCCATACCTTTTTTTTTAAGATTTTATTTTTATTGAGAGAGGACGAGAGAGAGAATGAGCAGTGGGGAGGAGCAGAGGGAGAAGCAGGCTTCCCGCGGAGCAGGGAGCCCGATGCGGGGCTCGATCCCAGGACCCTGGGATCATGACATGAGCCGAAGGCAGACGCTTCACCGACTGAGCCACCCGGGCGCCCTGCTCCCATCCTCTTACGCACTTTGCTGAAATTGCACCTCAAGCGTGGCACTGCAGGTGGTCTGGGTGGCCTTGAGAGCCACGTGGATTGCCAGCATCACCAGCATTACACTGTCTTAAACTTCCAAACAACTCTGGATCTGAAGTCAGATTAACAGTTTAAAACCATTTTTAGTTCTATTCGATGAGGACAAAGCTGGTCAGCAGTGTAACTTCTTTTGCTATAATGTAAAAAGTTGAAAATGAAAATTGAAGGTTCCTTTTAGAAGCAGCCTTCTCCTTATTTAAAGGATGTGCTTCTTGTGAGAGAATGGGGGGAGTGCTGTTAGGACCCCCGCAAACAGTTCATGGTACCGGCGTCACCTACAGCCCCACAGCTGTGCTCCTCACCACGGGCCCCAGAGAAGTGAAGACTCGGGTTCCCACGGAAACTCACATGGGAATGTTCACAGCAGCTGTATCCGTAGCAGCCAAAGACCACCTAGATGTCCTTCAGCAGATGCCTGGCTGCACCAGCTGTGGTCCGTCCACACCAGCGAAGACCACCCAGGTCTAAAACAACGGGCACAAGAATCTCCAGAGAATTATCCTGAGCAGGAAAAGCCAGTCCCGAAGGTCGCATACTGTGTAATTCCATTTATGTGACGTTTATGATGATAAAATTTCAGAAATGGAAGATTGCTGGTTGCGAGGCATTGGGGGGGGATCCTTGTGACAGAAGGTTGCGCGTGTCTTCACTGTGTTGGGTCCTTGTCCTGGCTGTGATCTCACGCCTGACTTAGCAAGATGCCGCCACTGGGGAAGCCGAGCAAGGGGTCCATGAGATCTCCTTGGATTGTTTCTTACAACTACAAGCGAATCTACACTTAGCTCAAAATAAAAAGGCTAATTTTGAAAGGTTAATTTTAATTTAGGGGAAATTAACAAGAACTATTTCCTCATATTGTCGTGTATGATTTAATTGTCTACTAGTGTTTTATAATCTTGGGAGAAGTCTAAGATTTGCTTTTGCTCAAAGCTGCTCATGTGTGGGACTTATTTAATTTTTTTTACATTGCTTTAGCCATTCTGGAGTATTTTTCTCTTTGAGAATAACATCCAGCAAAATTGTGTTGTCTGCATGCCTTCCACGCTGCCTTCGCAGCGGCTGCAAGTTCAGCTGGTTCCGCATCCATGGGCTCGGTTCTCTTCCTGAGCAGCTGCTAGGGCCCCACGCGCGGTCGGTGCCAGGCATCTTGCTGAGCAGGTGGTCTCAGCTCGCACGCTGTCGTTGCCTGAGGTAGTCCCTGGGCGTCACGGTTCGTCCTCTCTGCGGTTGGGTATTAGGGTTGGTTCCCATTCAGGGCTCTCGTGAGGAAAGCGGCTGTTCCTGCGCTCCCACATGCTCACAGGGGGGTGGGGGCGGTGAGCAGGAGTCCGCTTGCTGGCCGGAGGTGTGCACGGGGCAACCGGTAACGAGTGGGGTCTCCGCTCCCTCCCCCGTCCCGGGGCGGCCTCAGCCGCTCTGCTGGGTGGGTGCCAGCGGTGCCTCCTCGGGACTTGACTCGCGTTTCCCTCGCGAGCTGTGTGGACACCCGCCTTGGGGCCGGCCTGGCAACCCTCAGGTCATTTTCCTCTTGGGTTGGTTATTTCTCTTACTCATTTGTAGGAATTTTTTATATATTCTGACAAATTTTTTGTCTTTTTTTCTTTTTACTAAAATGAAATTCCTGTAACAAAATCAGCCGTTTTAACCCTTTTAAAGTGTACAAGGCAGGGGTTTTCAGCACGTTCACAGCACCATGTGACCATCGCCACAGCGAGAACATTGCTGTCACCCCCCCAGAGACCCTGAATCTCCCAGTCCCGCCTATCCCCCACCCCGTAGTAACCGCTGCCCTGCTTTCTGCTCACACGGACTAGCCTGTGTGTCTGCCGCTCTGATGAGGCGTCCCCTAAAGGTCCCTCCATGCGGGCATGTTTCTGTACTGGCTCCTTTTATGGCTGAAATTCTATGTTCCGTATATTTTTGATAACATCTTCCAGTCTGTGACTTAACTTTTCACTCTCTTCATGGCATTTTTTAATAACCAGAAGTTCTTAATTTTCATGTACTCTAAGTTTCGAATTTTGTATGGATAGCACCCTTTCGGTCCTGCGTTGATCTTTGCCTCCCTTGGTCCAAAGGCACCGTGTCGTCTTCTGGGACGTTTTGCTTTGCTTTTCTCATTGGATCTGTGTCTGTCTGGAGGCACGTAGAGCACATGGCATAGGGCTGTGGACACGAATCCGTGTTCTCTCCATGCCACACTGGGGCACAGGGTCACCTTGTCAGAAGCCAAGAGGTGTGTGAGTGCATGAGTGTGAGTGCAAGTGTGCATGAGAGTGTGTGATTATGTAAGTGTGCTTGCGTATGTATGAGTGTGAGCATGAGTGCGTGGGTGGGAGCATGCAAGTGTGTATGTGTGCTTGTGTGTGAGCACAAGTGCATGAGTGAGCACAACTGCGAGCACAAGTGTGTGGGTGTGAGTGCACGTGTGCTTGCGTGAGTGAGCATGAGTGTGAGTGCGAGCGTGCATGTGTGTGAGCATGAGTGCGTGGGTGTGAGCGTGCATGTGAGTATATGTTGTGTACGTGTGCTTGCGTGAGTGAGCGCGAGTGTGCGTGAATGTGAGCACAAGCGTGTGGGTGTGAGTGCACGTGTGCTTGCGTGACTGAGCATGAGTGTGTGGGTGTGAGCGTGCATGTGATTGTGTACCTGTGCTTGCATGAGTGTGTGAGCACGAGCATGCGAGTGCCGGTGTGTTTCGGACTCTCCGCTCTGTCCCCTTGCTGGCTCACCTGCTCTTACAGGTGGTGGCGCTGTGCCTGGCACCTTCTCGGTCCAGGTTGTCCGGCTATCTTCATGGTCTTCCCAGCATCCGCGTGAGGTTTTGGATTCAGCTTGTCAGTTTTCACACGCCGCTGCGGGGCCTCGGGGCCCGTGGGAGGAGAGCTCGTGCATTCACGGCTGCGAGCCTCTTGCTTGCGAGCGCACACCCTGTGCGCCCTGGCTCTTGTGCGTTTTCTCAGCAGAGCCCTTTGGTATTTGGCGTGAGGGTCGTGCGTTCTCTTGTGGGACTGGCCCTGGGGGCTGGGTGTTTTTTGGTGCTGTTGTGAAGCGTGTTTCCTTAATGTTCTTTCTTTTGGCTGCTGGCTTCTGTGTGTGGTTTTACTTCCTCAGAATAAGAAACGTCTACTTCTTTCAAGTTGTTTTGTGTCAGTAACACCTCGCGAAGAAGTCCACCGGAAGCTTTGCATTTAACAACTGTCATTAGAAGCCCAACAAATCCTCACTTGTACCGTGTCCAGCCCGCTGAACGCGCTGGCGCTTCCCTCTGGGGTCCTGTTCTCTCCGGGTATCGCTCGTCACTGTCCACTTTCTCTACGTGCTTTCAGGTGGAAACGGGGACGGTTTTTACATTAATACGTGTTTTATTGCCGTAGTTGGGCTATTCACTGAGTCAAGGTAAAGAAAATCTACCACAAATACTTAAAATAAGTTTTTGAAAATATTGTCATTCAAAACTTTGAATGATTGTTTCAAATATTTTAATTTTTTTTTCTCCCTTTATGGTAGATTCAACTAATGTTCGCTTGCTGTGCGTGTCTCAGCTCGGCCCCACAGAGGCCCCTCTGGGGACTTGGAGATGGGCCTTGGCTGTGACGGCGCCATGCCTTTGGGCGTGAACCCGCCCCTGGCCAGAGATGTCGCTGGTGGCACTTGTGAGTGACAGGCGGCCCTCCCCTCTCGCCCAGGTCACGGAGCTGCTGGACATCTCCATGGAGCTGGGCTGCTTCCTGGCCGGAGCGCTCATCTCTTCCCAAGGCCACATGGTCACTGAGGAGGTCGTGTCTTACATCGAGCCCATCCGTGACTTCCTGGTTATCATCTTCTTCGCATCCATAGGTAACCTTTCTTGTTCACGTCAGGACGTTCACGCGGTGTTTGTGAGACAGATGCACGTGACTTCTGTGACCTGCTTGCATATTTCTTTTTATTCAGCAAGAACAGTTCCATAAAAATTGGGGTCTGCAGAGAAACCTTACCGAAAACAGGGAAAGTTTGCACTCGGGGACATTAACTTATTGATCGGCGGCCATGCTCTGGGGGTACTCGGATGCCCTCAGGGAGGACGACCCCCACTTTCAACTCCATGGGAAACGTATAGGTGCCCAGCAGGTTAGCAACTTAAAGTCAGCACCAAAATGGGACATTTGGGAGGAAGGGTAATTTTGACACCAAAAAGTGAAGCTGCTGTGTCGAGGTATGCTGCCGTGTAAGTGCCCCTGTGTCGGGTGCCTCTCCGCCCGGCACGTCCATGCACCCTGCTGCCCTCCACCCGGAGTGGCCACCCAGCAGGCGCCATGCCTACGCTCACCGACAGGCTCGGCGCGGCCCCAGCGAGCCCAAGAACGTTGAAGAGCTCAGGGCAGCCGGTCCTCAGAGTGGAGGGCAGAGTGGGGAGACCGCCCATCACCAGGCGGGGTAAGACCCTTTGCAGCTGCGTTAGCGACAGGTGTCCGCGGTGTTCTGAGAGAGAACCTTCTTGCCAGCAGGTGCCCCTTGCTCTGCCCCCCTTCCTGTCCGTCCCCTGCCCATCCCTTGTTCTTTGTCCTTGTGTCTGGGTCTGTCTCTGTCCCTCCTGCCCCCCTTCCTGCCTGTCCCCTTCCGCCTGTCACTTCTCCAGATGAGGACCCATGAGGCCGACAGGGACAAGCTCCCTCTGACTGGGTCCCAGGCCACAGTCCTCCCGGGGCCGCATCTCACTGACATGCGTGTGGCTCGTGTCCTGCCCGCAGGGCTGCGTGTAGTGTGTGCTGGTTAGAAATGAAAATCCCATGGACGTGTTATCTAACAGACAGGCTTGCTGAACTCTCCCTCAGGTTAGGGTCCTTGACCTGCCGAGATCACAGGTGTCTAACGAGGACAGAGCCGTAGTGTTTTTGCTTTCGTTCTTCACGCTCAGCATGCGAAGGGCGTTCAGCTGAGAAACGTGTGCACTCCACTGCTCGGGACAGAGTCTTTCTCTTTGGGGTTGCAAGCAACACAGAAGTGCTCCGTTTGAGATGACGCCTCAGGGATGTGCCCATGAACCTGATCCCTGACCCCTGCCCCATGTCAGGCCCCGGGGAGCCGGGAGACAGCGCGGAGGGCCCACTGGCCGCAGTCAGTCCCAGGCAGGGGCAGTGGCCCTGGGGTCCCAGCACCACAATGGGGCCACTGAGGGCCCTGGCTGAGCGCTGAGCAGTGAGAGCAGTGTGACCAGCAAAGGGCAGTTTGGGGCCCAGAGTGAAGGAGGGCCCCCCCAGGCGGCTGAATGCAGAGGCAGCAGAGGCTGACACTGGCCCTGGAGGGCATCGGGGCGGGGATTCAGTGCAGGTGGAGGGACCCTCAGAGGGCAGCAAGGCCCCAGGCCCATGTGGCGGTGGGCGGCAGTACAGACCCTGAGCCCCCGTGTTCCTCCCACTAGACCAGGTGTCGCAGGCTCTGCTCCTCCTCACGATCATCTGGCACCTGACTTCCTAAGTCCCGTGTCACTGAAACACCACTGTACCCATCCCTTTGTGCTGCACATTTTTAAGATTTTATTTATTTGAGAGAGAGCGAGCACGTGTACAAGCAGGGGGAGTGGGAGAGGGAGAAGCAGACTCCCCACAGAGCAGGGAGCCCAACGTGGGGCTCGATCCCAGGACCCCGGGATCATGACCCGAGCCAAACGTGGACGCTTTACTGATGGAGCCACCCTCCCCTGTGTTGTGTTGACGAGGCTTTTGAGCTGTGGCTCATGCTGCCAAAACAGATGCTGGCATGTGGGCGGCGGCAGCGCTGACGGAGCCTCTTCCCGGGCTACAGATGGCCGCCTGCTTGCTGGGTCCCCATGCGGCCTTTCCCGGGACACAGTGCACTTGGGGACAGACACACGGAGACAGAGGAAGGGACGCGGGGCGGGGGGACTCCCGTGTCCCCTCCTCTCCTCATGAGGACACCAGTCCTGCTGGCTCAGGCACCCACCCTGTGGCCTCTCGTCGCCCTCAGTACCCCCTGGAAGCCATCTGCAGGTGCGGTCACACGGGCTTGTGGCCTCAGCACCTGAACTGGGGGCAGCGCGGTCGTGGCAGCTCCAGAGGCAGAAAGGAGTGGGGGCAGCCAGGCCTGTGCGGCCCCCACTCCGTCCCGCACAACCACGAGGACTAATCTCCCATCACTTCTCGCCTTACGGACGAGGCCAGTGACGCGATGTTTCTTGTTACAGACTTTTCAACAAGGATTTCATCCTCTCGGATCCCCCTTCCTGGGACACAGAGGAATTCTGAAGTGGGCACTGCCCGTCCTCATTCTTAGAGGCGCCCTGGAGGCTGTCGTGGGCCCGTCTGGGTGTGACGGCTCACACTGACACCTCTGGGCCTAGCGCGCATGCGAGGTGACTGGGGGGCTAGTGATGACTGACGGACCGTGTGCCACGTTCTGCTTCCCACGTCTGCCGAAGGAGGTCAGGAGGTGTGCCAGGGTCTATGCTCGGTTCGTGGTGGACCTGACGTGGGCGTGCAGAGCCCGGGTCCTAGCGACACGGCCGGTATCTGTTGGGAGGACGAGAGACTGCATGTCCGTAAGCAGGAAAGCTACGGCGGCTTGTGTGCCTCTTGTCAGAAGCGCGTGTGGCAGGCGCCAGAGTGTGGATCTGTGTACGCGGTGCTCTGCTCGCCGCACAGAGGTCCGAGTGAGGAGTGTGTCCACCCTCAGAGTGGAGAGCCTCTGCCGTCCGGCCTGCGTGCTTGGGCCCGGCGCATGCTTATCCTCGGGAGAGGGAGGCCCCTGAGCTTCGAAGTAAGTCAGCAATAGCTGTCAGTGTGCCCGGTGGGGAAGTGGGCGGGCGGGGGCCGCCGTTGCCCAGGCAGGTCCGTGCAGTGGGCCGGGCTGGGGATGTGTGCACAGGAGTGCTCACACTGGTCACTTCCGACTGCGGGTGACAGTGTGACGAGCTGGTCTGCAGCCATAGTGCTGGGGGGTCGTCAGGGCTCGGGGGGCACTGCAGGTTGGGGAGGTGGCCGAGGCAGACCCAGGAAGAGGGAAGTTGCCAGGAAGGAGGTCGGGGCAGGTGCTCATCAGCAGGCCCCCGTGGGCAGATGCTGCAGAATTCCAGGGAAGAGAAGGCTGTCTTGTGAGCACGGGGGTTCTGGGGTTTGTGTTTCTGAGTCAAACAGGTGTGTCCCTGCCCCCGACGTGAGCTCCAGGTGCCCTCCCTAGAGGTGTGGGGCCGGCCACTGAGCGAGGAGGGGCCCACCAGCACCCACCCCTCGTCCCTCATCCCTGGCACGCTCCCAGCAGGCACTGACCGCAGCGGGAAAACCGTTCTCGGTGGTTTTGCCAGGGCAGCAAGCAGCCACTAGTGGCCAGGCTTCTCTCCCCCTTGTTTCCAGGCCCCGGGAGGTGCCTGCACCTCACTCAGAACGTTTTCACAAAGGAAAATCACTTAGCCGCTGCCTGCCATGCCGTTTTGCCAAGTCCTGGGAGTGAAGTCTGGTGGAGGATGGCCCTGGGCACCCGGGCCGCTGTCCCTGTGGCGAGCCGGCTCAGAGCACCAGCAGCAGGGGTCCCTCGTGCAGGGCAAGGACAGAAGGAAGCCTGAGCATCGAGGGCTCGTGGTTGAGGATGAGGCGGGTGGGCCTGCGAGAATGACCCTGTCTGTCCTTTCCCTAACAGGCCTTCACGTGTTCCCCACTTTCGTGGTGTATGAGCTCACCATCTTGATGGTCCTCACGCTGTCGGTGGTGATCATGAAGGTATGGATTCTCCTTCTCGGTGCTTCGCGATTGGTACAATTCCTGTCATTTTTGGTTGTATGTGTCACAGAGCCTACCTTCCTACCCATAGTGACGCTGAGTCTGCAAAGCTCCGACAGCACCACTTACCCTGAACCCCTCTTGCCTCCCAGCAGTCTGGGGACGGGGCGGGGTAGGACCGGGGCCTTTGGGTTTGTTTTCCTTGGTTTGTCTCAGAATTGGGTATGTTTGAAATGGGAGTTAGGAAAGCTGGGCCAGGAGAAGCGACTTCTGGACGTCCCGGGAGGCCCCTGCACTTGGACGTTCCTCCCGAGCTCTGCTAACCATCTGCACTCATGTACAGTTCGTTGTTTATATGTTTTGAAATTATTGTAATACTTTTGCCCACTAAATCAGTGGCTTATTATAAAAAGGTATAACTCAGGAACAGCCAGATGGAAGCGATGCCCGGGGCAGGGCGTGGGGGCGGGTCATGGGGCGCCCGTGCCTGTCGGGACGCCTCACAAACTTCCAGTTTAACAGCCACTGAGAATGACCTCATCGCTGTGTCCTCCATGACTGCAGGTGCTTGAGTTGCCTGTGTTAACATTCATTTCAGGGTCCGATTGCCTGCTCAGTAGCTGTCTGGCTTTGTAGATTATAAAAGTTGACTTAAAATACTAGTTTTTTTTTAACTGGGGTGGGAAGGCACAGAAGGAGAGGGAGACTCCACGCCCAGCAGGGAGCCCAGTGTGGGGCTCGATCTCACGACCCGAGATCAGGACCTGAGCCAAAACCAGGAGTCGGACACTGAACCGACGGAGCCATCCAGGCGCCCCTGACTTAAAATACTTCGACTGGAAGGAATCCGAATCCCTGACGATTGTTGCACTTGCCCCGCGGGTTCTGGGCCACTCGCCTCTGGACTGTGCTCACGTGAGAGAGCTACAGTCCTCTCGTTAGAAAGTAAAATGTCCTTGAGCGCTGCCTGCTGCCTGACTTGGTCTGGGGGGAAGACCTGGCTATCTGCTAGTGAACCTGAACCCTTGATTTTGCGTTGTTCAGCGTGGTTTTCTGTCCCTCTGTGTCCCTTTGGTGCTTCTGCTTATGTCCCCAGGGTGTCCGGCGAGGGCTCGCGTCTGTTTTCTGCTCGGCCGGCAGGCTCGGGCGAGGCAGTAACGGGTCACTCTCGCAGTTTGCTCTGGCAGCTCTGGTCTTGTCCCTCCTCCTGCCGAAGAGCAGTCAGTACGTCAAGTGGATCGTGGCCGCGGGGCTGGCGCAGGTCAGCGAGCTCTCTTTTGTCCTGGGGAGCAGAGCGCGCAGAGCTGGTATCATTTCTCGGGAGGTGAGTCTGCACCCACGTTGTGTGTTCGGGGAGCCCCGGCCCGCACCCCCCACCCTGCCGTCTGAGCATCCCGCCCGCGGCTCCGCAGCTGGTGCGGGGCCGGCGCTCTGCCTCTCACCCAGCGCGGACGATTATTGTCGCTGTCGACGCTGCCCGGTCCCCTCACGCATCTCTGGAGGAAGAAGAGCTAAATCTCAAGGCCCCCCCCCGCTGGTTTGTGCACGGCCTCCCTGGGACCGCGTCTGAGCGGCACCCCCGCACTCGGGTCTGACTCCCGAAACCACTGAAAAGGCAGAGCTGGAATGTTGTTAGGTGAAAGTCCCTGGTTTGTTTGGGGTTTTTTCATGAAATACTTTGCAACATTTGCCTTACACGTAAAAGTTGAGTTTGGGTCGCTGTGACAAGTGCTTCTGAAGACACCGTATCTCCAAATTTTAGGGAGTCGGAGCGAAAACTTTAATAGAAATGATGGCAGAGCTTCCTCTGTATAAAATACACGGAGGTTTTTCCTGTGTATCAGTATACACCAAAGTTTGGGGCTTCTTTGATCAGCTCCTCCTTCCCCCACCACAGCTTTAAGCCTGCAGGGTGCTGGGCCCTCTGCGTGGCGCCTGGGAGGTGAGCCCCCTGCCCCCCGTTTGCCTCCTTCCCCTCTGTCCCTGGCCCCTTCGTCCTGGGCCTGGCTTTCTCACGAGCTGGGTATGCGCACACCCACCCACGGCTGTGCACTTGCCTTGTCCTCCTCTCTAGTTTTGTTCGTTTGCCCTTTGAACTAGAACGTGATGAATATTGTCTGATGACCCCTGGTTGTCACTTTACACTTGACAAAGAGGACGTTTGTGCTTGGCGGTGACCCCCACCCCAGGGGTCAGTGGGCCACAGTGTATGGTCCACTGTGTAAGAGCTAATGTCCTTTAGAGCAGGGCCAGTGTGAGCCCTCAGTGAGCTGAGGACCAGTGACGTCACTGGTTCAGTGAAAGCAGGGTGGACATTAATGGGACTCTGCTGTGGATAAATGGATAAATACTGGGTCATGGTGTAGGAGCAGACAGGAGACCACACACACTTTCCCCAGACTCGTAACCATGGGGGCCGGCTCACCACGCCCGTGGTTCTAGCTTAGAAACAGGGCACTCTCAAATTGGGGGTTTGTGGACACACAAGCTCATGAATGGTAGTTTCTACTCAAACCTAACTGGATCCCCCAACACCCTTCTGCATCTGAGTTTTGTTTTGCCCTTTTTGTGCAAGTATGTGGAAATGTGTCGGGCAGGTCCTTGAACCAGGGCGGGGCTTTGCCTGCTGCCCCCTTTCAGCGAGCATCCCTCCCTTGGGCACCCTGTTGCCGGTGAGCGCCCCCCCCCCCCCCGCACCGTGAGATGCCTCCAATATCCGGTTCTGCACACCTGCCCCCTAATTTGGGCCAAGGGAATATAGAAGCTCCTCTTAGTGCCTGGGACATGCTGTAAGCACTCAGAATTCAGTGCTTGTCCCCCATAGTCATGAGTGTGAGGAAGATAGGATGCATCTCAACTGTGGAGAAACGATGGAGGAGGGATGATATCTGTGCACAGGCCCCGTGCGAGACCCACGCTGGGGCCGCGGGGTAGGCCCCGTCCGAGACCCGCGCTGGGGCCGCGGGGTGGGCCCCGTGCAAGACCTGCGGCTGGGCCCCGTGCGAGACCCGCGCTGGGGCCACGGGGTGGGGCCCGTCCGAGACCCGAGATCCGCGCTGGGGCCGCAGGCTGGGCTCCGTGCAAGACCCGCGGCTGGGCCCCGTCCGAGACCCGCGCTGGGGCCACGGGCTGGGCCCGTGGCCCTGGGGGCTGTGCAGGGGCACCTCCTAGTCCTGCGTGTGACCACCGGCAGCCTTACCTCTTGCAGGTGTACCTCCTCATCCTGAGTGTGACCACACTCAGCCTCTTGCTGGCCCCGGTGCTGTGGAGAGCTGCCATCACGAGGTGTGCGCCTCGGCCAGAGAGACGGTCGAGTCTCTGAGGGCAGCGACAGGGACACGCGGCTTCAGAAGCGAGATCCCTCGCCTCGGGGACAAAGCGCTCCGTGGGAGGGGCTCCCCGTGTACCCAGCGTGCCGACTTCCTGCCGTAGCTTGGGGTCTTCCAGAGTAATTTATTGCATTCAGTTGATCATGCACAGTATAAGTATAACGCTGCATTTTACAGATCACCTTGACTGTTTTGCCTGGATGTGCCTTTTTTTCTGAAATTGTTAACTTTCTATTGTTACTTCATCGGTTCATGATTTTTTGGTAAAAAAAAAATCAGAAAGGTTTTTTATTTATTCAACTTTTGTGTTGTAATCTGTTGGTCAATATTTGTTATTAAACATTTCTGTGATATGAAATTTTAATTCTGGCAGTGAGTTTGGAAAGTTACTTTAGTCCTTACTGTTTTCTAAAATGACAAATATCTTCTAAATGTCTATTTGTTTTTATTACAATAATTTTAAATAAAACATTCATGTCAGTTTATTAAATGTCATTTAAAATATTTGCTTTGAATCACAAGAATATGCATGCTTTAATAAAGATCATTTATGATCGGAGAAATTAATTGAAATTTATTGGAATTTTTCTTAGATTTTCGTGTTAAACTAATCTTTGACAGTTTTCAAAAGTTAGGATGATTTGTACCTTGCCACATCATTCTCTAAGAGACCAAAGCCTAAGCTGTAACTTTGATTTTTAAAGTATATTTTGGTTCCTACATGGTCCATTTTGGAGAACCCAGGGCTGGAAGGTCTGATCTTACAGATTTCCCCGAGGGGCGCTGTGAGTGGAGTGTCCTGTCAAGATGGGCGTTAGGAGCCTAGCAGTCTGACCAGAGCCCTCACGGCCGAGGGAAGGCCGCCTCGTGCACGACGACGTACCGCAGGTGTGACCGTGTGATTAACACTCTGGGAGGAAGTAGCTGCCTCTGGTCCGCAGGAAATTGGCAGAGAAGTGATACAGCCCTGGTTTTATTCATTTCTCAGTCGGCGCATCAGTGCCCTTCCCTCCAAACCGCTGGGTGTGGACGCGTGGGCAGGACGCTTTCTCTTACCCGTGCGTGTGCCCACCTTGCCCGGCAGGCGGAACCCGCTCGCGGCGGCCTCTGGGGTGCCTCTTCTTGTTCTTTCATTTTGGATCCCCAGCACCTGAGGGCAGAGCCAGGAGCTCGAGAAATTGTGTTGAGCTGAAGGGGACCTATTTGCGCTGACACAGTTGTCCCCAGAACATGGAGGTAGCATCGCTGTGAGAGAGTGCTGAGTCGAGACGCCAAGAGGACGCACCTCTGGAAGACCCCAGCCCCAGGACGAGGCCTCCTCACCTTCCGCTCACCTCTCAGGGACCACCATCCACGCCCCTGCCACACAGTGAGGCCACAGAGCCCTCCACGGCCCTGTCCTCACTCTCCCCTCCTCATCCAGGCTTGGGGAGCTCAGCTCTCTCCTCTCCGCCCCTGCAAGCCCCTGCCCCTGCGGCCATCAGCGTTTCCTCTGTGGCCCAGTCCGGCTTCGATCGCTGGCAGAGGAAAGCGTGCTTGCCGACCAGCCCTGCAGTGATGTCCTCACCTGGAATTTAAAACTTGGTGTCCGGTTTGAGTCTGTTCCTTGTGGATTGACATTTGAGACGCAGAGCTGAAGACAGAGGGGCGGGTGGGGGCGCCACCTGCTGACAGCAAGCGCCTCACCCGGTCCCCAACACCCGTTGTCACACCAGGAGCGCTCGCCGGACCCCCAGCTCCTCCCGCCTCTGGTCCCCACGCGCATCGCACGCGTTCCAACCTGCTGGCGCCCTCGCATGGCCCTCCCCCTTCCCGGGTCCGAGTGCTGCCCCTAAGCCTCTGGGAGGTAGGCCCCCGCATCCTCGGTGTCCTGGCGTGCTGCTGGGCGTGGGGGGCAGGATGGAGGCCTGAGCCCCACGTGGAAGAGCTTCATTCGGCCTGAGGGAAGCCGGAGGACGTCCAGCACCGTCTGGCTGGAAGGTTGAGAGCCGCGGCTGTTGGAGCAGATCTTCCGTGGGAGGTCAGTTAGGAGAGACGCTTGCTTGGTTTGCTTGCGTGACAGACACAGGAGAACATTCGTGGTCAGAAGTCAGTGTGTGAGGCAGCCTCCGCCACGGCTCCCGGGCCACGGGCACCTGATGTGGCGGAGCAGAGCCCCCCGGGGAAGGCGGCGGCCGTGCCTCCCTCGGAGCGCTAACCCGTGGTTGAACAGGCCATGCTGCCGGAGCCTAGACGGGGGGCGGGGGCGGGGGGGGGGACAGCCAGGCTTCATGCCCCCAGGCAGAGCAGACACGGCCGGTATCTGCTTCGGACACCACGTCTCCTGCGCCCAGGACGGTCGTGGTACGTCAGAGCCCGGAAGGGGGAAGGTGAGGCACAGGCTCGGGACCAGCTGCAGGGCAAGCGCGGGAGCCTGGGTGCCCAGGACCTGCAGGGCACAGGTGCAGTGGGGCTGTGGTCCCGGGCGGGACTGAGACCCCCTGGGCTCGGGCAGGTGACAGGTGAGGGGCATGCAGGTGAAGATGACGAAGGAGCGGCCAGGGCGTGCGGGCTCCCTGGGGTGGGCGGCTGCTCCGGTGTCCGACTCCGGGACTCCTGCCGGCTCCCCCACCCCCCTGGGACGTGGCCGCTGCTGGCCCTTGGCCCTTGGCATGAAGGTCAGGGTGCCCCCGCCGCTCCATGGCTCCCAGTCCAGACTGCCTACGCCTGAGGGCCAGGGCCCCAGAGCTCTCTGTTCCTCGTGCCTGGTGGCAGCCCCGGCCCCTCCATATGTCCTTATTCATCTGGGGAGTCGCTGAGCCCGGCCCACCCACGGCGCCTGGCCACACACCGGCTCCCTCCTCCCCCTGGCTGCCCGGGGCCAAGGTCCGCGGCTTCACCAGCACTGGGCCTCGAGGCTGGCTGTGGAAAGTCCATGCCCCCTGCACACGAGAGACGGGCAGAGAAGTCGGCTGGCCCTGATTCCATCAGCTCATCCAGACAGCGAGGCGTGTCTTTCCTGAGGGCAAGTAGTGCCTGGTGCCCTGCAGGCCTCTGGCCTCCCTCGCCTGGCCAGAGTGAAGAGGCCTTTGCTTTGCTTGCTTTAGGGATGGACCATGCAAGGGAGGGATGGGCTGAGGGGTCCAGCGGGCATGGGCCAAGGGCAGGGCCCATCCCCAGCTGCTCCAGGAGCTCATGGGGGCTCGGGCTGAACCCTGACCCCCCTGCCTGGGGGGCCTGCCGACACTTGCCTTTGAATGCAGCGTGAAGAATCAAGAAACATGATGTGCACATTATATAGAAATTTGGGGAGAATGTGCCTGGGGGAGGGCGGGGGCAGGCCTTTATTAGGATGAGCCCGATGCGCCCACATCCCCCTTGCTTGCTTTGAGGATCCTCGCTGCCTTTAGAAACCTTGTCACGGGCTGTTTCTCCCCCGCAGGCCGCGTCCGCGTGGGTGTGGTCGCCTCAGGAAACAGCGTTGCTGCTGGGACGCCCCCCCTCGAGGCCCCTCGCCCTGCCTCCCCGGCCCTTCAGAGCTCCCCGCCGGTGCCCGCTTCCTTCTCTGACGAGCCGTTAGGGGCGCGAACGCTTTCACAGAAGCGCTGCGTCCTGTGGTCTTCCACTCAACCGCGTGTTTCTGACTCATCCTGGTGCCGAGCCTGAGGCAGACATTCTCACCTTCTGTGACCATCGCTTCCGTGAAGACGCTGCAAAGTGCTTCTGTCGCCACCTGTGTCCCAACACTGTCACCATGGAACAGTTCGGAGGAAGAGGCAGGGGTTCCTCACGTGCGGCCTCGGGGTCTTTGACTCCTGCAGGTAGACACAGAAGCGTTCCTGGGCGCCCAGGGGTGTGTGCCAGGAGCTTCTCAAGCAGCACGTTAGCACCTACCTGGTGGCGGTCAGCCTTTGTCACCTCCTCCACAGGACACTCACGAGCCACAAAAGATCCTCTGACGGCCTGTGTTGAGGCGCTAGTCCCAGGGCAGGGGTGACGTGGAGCGACCCGAAAGTGCCCGACCCACGGTGGGTGTGGCTGTGTCACAGACGGGTCTGGGGGGACGCCCAGTGGCGTCCACGAGTCCAGGATGACTTGGGAGCTGTCCACCCAGCACGGCTCTGTCCAGACGGAGTCCGGGTCCCATCGGTCGGGACTGGGGCCTGAACATGAGTGTTTCTTTTTTTTTTTTTTTTAAGATTTTATTTATTTATTTGACACAGAGAGAGCGAGCACAAGTAGGCAGAACGGCAGGCAGAGGGAGAGGGAGAAGCAGACTCCCCGCTGAGTGGGGAGCCCGATGCAGGGCTCAATCCCAGGACCCTGGGACCATGACCTGAGCCGAAGGCAGACGTTTAACCGACTGAGCCAGCCAGGCACCCCAACATGAGTGTTTCTAACACATTTCCAGGCAGGGCTGATGCTGCTGGGCCGGGAGCACCTGGGAGATGCAGCCGTCCAGCTCATGGTGGCCCTAGCTGCACCTTTGCTGACTGGACACGTGAACCCAGATGGTGAAGATAAAGGCCTCCGAGCCAGGAACAGAGTCTGGAACAGAGCCGCCGCGGCACTGGGCTCCGTGGATCACTGAGCAGCATCTCTCCAACAGCAGACTCTGGTGGAGGAGGCGTCCCCTGGAGTGGATCATGGCCGTGGGAGCACAGCCACCCAGCCAGGAAAGTGCTGTTGCCGGGCCTCTGGTTCCATCATACACACGTGTGTCACATGTGTGTGGTGGCCAGTCAGACTTTGAAACTGCTGGTGTAAGGGAAGAGGGTCCAGGAGGGCAGAAAGCAGGTGCTTCCTGGGGCTGGGGGGCCGTGGGGGCGCTCAGGAGACCCTAGCTTCCAGCAGCTTCGGCCCCGACCAGGCGCCAGGCGAGCACCACCGCGGGCGTCCAGAGCAGAGAGGGAGGCTGGCGTGCTTCCCAGGGAGCGCCCACGTGTCCGTCCGGACTGGGGTGCAGGCTGCACACGGGGGGCGTACCAGTTGTCCGGACGAAGCAAGCAACTGGAATCTCTTTAAACGTAACCAGATTATTTCATGATTCATGAATAAAATAAAGTGTGGAGAAATGACCCAAGAACTTAGGTGTGCGCACAGGGGAGAGGAGGCGGGCGCCGGGAAAGAAGAGAGCGTTTACAAACAAAGGGGCATCGTTATTTCAAAAGGAGGAGTGTCTGAGAGGGAGAACATCACATCAAGCTGCGGGGCGGGTCCTGCAGCCGGTCCCTGGGGGATGTCCCGTGGGAGGCGCTTTTATGGACTTGCTGTTACCTCATACCCGCTTTAGGGATCAAAGTGTTGTCTTGGCATGGATCCCTCACATGGGGGGTTGGACAACATTTTGAGATGTGTTTCCTCCCCTCAGTTACCTTTTCTTCCCTCAAAATGGACTCAGGGTGGATCATAATAGTCCAGAGGACAGAAGTAGCCTGCAAGTCTTCCTGATGTTTTACAAAAGCCCTCCAAAATTTGGAGGGTCCACCAAGAAGGTAAAAGGAAGGTGAATTAGCACATTAAGGTGGAGGTTGGGGAGCCGCCCCACGTGGGCTAGAGGACAGGATCCAGCAGCCTCACGAAGGACCCCACATGCCCGTGGAGTCATGGCCATGACCCTGCACATCCTGGGTGGAGAGGAGAAAACCCCAAGAGCAAGAGGAAAGCCCCCAGGAGCCCAGCGGATGGACAGAGGCTGAACATAGGCCGGCTGTCCAAGGATGCCGCCTCTCAGCCCTGGGACCACGCACCAGGCTCCTGCACGGGCAGTGGGCGGCTCCCTCGTCCACGCCGGTCTCGCCGCTCGGCCGGCTCCAGCGTGCGGTCTGCCCCGAGAACCAGGGCGGGCTGTACCCTTTCCAGGTTCACACACGCTTCCAAATTCCTTTTGGTAGCCACCGTTTGCCCGCAAACCTTTACTTGAAATGTGAAGATTAGAGAAGGAAGGTGGACACAAACCCAGGAGGACTGAAAAGTGGAGGGTAATCCAAATGACAGTTTGGTGGTCGGCAAGTCGGCTAGATGTCTGGCCTCACGATTTGAGCTTGTAAAGCATGAAGGTCGGTCCGCCTTCCCCGTAGCCTGCTCTGACGGAGCTGGGCCTTCTTCAAGGCCACAGGTCCTCCGTCCCTGATGCCGGGAACCCCGTCAGCCTCGGGGCCACTGCCGGGCCGGGAGCTGGGCCGCGGGGAAGTGGATAGGGCGCGCTCCGCTGGGGTCGTGGGGTGCATGCACCTTTGCTGCATCCGTAGTCCTGACCGAGCTGCACACTGCCGTCCGGCCCCACGGACTTCCAGAAATTACCTGTGGCAGCCCCACAATGAGGAAATTTCCGGGCTGGGGATGAAGGACCATGGACCCCCGCTTCCAGGTTTCCTGATTCATGCCTCCTCCACAGCTTTCCCCGAGTCACAAGAAACGAGCTGGCTGATCCCGTGAGCTGAAGTCTGCCTTCTGTCCCGTGAGGGCCTCTTCTGTGTGTTTCGACTGCACGAATTCCCGTGACACTTTGTTGCACCAGGAACAAGTCCTTGGCAAGCACTGAAAACCGACAGCTCCATTTTTGACTTCTGCCAGTGCGTTTGACCCACTTATCAGTTCCAAAATACACTCGCATCTGCCATCTGTGGTTGTCTAATTCTGCTATCACATCCCCTTCATGCTGACGGTTCTTGATTGTGTTTATTCTGGTCCAACATCCACAGCTGGACTAACTCGCAGAGAATTCGACCCCCTGGAGGGGGAGAGAGGCCAGGCCACCGAGGCTCCAACCAGCACTCCGTGGCAACTGTGTGTACCTGTCACTGGCCTAGTTTGAGGACCCTGAACTTCGTTAGGTCTGGACCCTCTCCTCCCACCGGATGGGCTCGAGTTTTGGCCAGCCACCCAGTGAACCTGCCTTGTTACCGTGGCCCCGGGGCCGACACAGGCTTCCCCTGCCTGCGCAGGAAGGGGCCTGCGGCGCAGGGGTGCCATGCACCCCTCTTGGGCCCTGCATCCGCGTGGCTGCAGGACTTCGTGAGACCACGTGTGTAGGACGACCAGGGCCAGCCCTGGGGCCAGCCACCTGCTGGCTCAGCTGGGACAGGGCCCCGAGGGTCTGCAGCAGTGGGAGCCGCTCAGGTGCGGGCCGGGTGGGGCTTCGGGCATAGGGGGACTTCGCGGTGGGGTGGGGCTCTCGGCGGGGGCAGGGCTTTGGATGAACTTGGGGGGTGCGGGGGGAGGGCTGGGAGTGGGCGGGACTTCGGGCGGGGCGGGGCCAGTGTGTGGGCGGGGCCACGGGCGGGCACAAAGGGACGTGGGCGTGGGCCTCCTTGGGGCCGCCCCTCCGACCAGAGCCCGAAGGTTGGCGCGACTCTTCCGGCTTGGTTCCCGGGCTGCGCGTGGGAGCTGCTGCCCCTTTCCCGCAGGGGAGCGCACGAGCTCAGGCTGCCCCACCTGTCACTGGGTCAGTGCGCGGAGTCCTCCCAGCCTGGGAGGTTCTGTTGCTTTCCTCCATCAGGCAGGTGCTCTAGAAGTTACACCCAGTGACAGAACGTAAAGGACTAAGTTTCTGCGAGTACAGGTGTGTGCGAGTGTGTGGACAGGTAGGTACTAGGTGAGGGTAGACGAGCGATGGAGGGAGATGACAGGTGGATAGAGACGCAGACACGCAGGTAGATGGAGGGACAGAGGACAGAGGGATAGGTGAGAGATGACAGGTCCCCGGAGAGGCGGACCGAGGCCTGCCAGCACCCGCCTGGCTCCCGGCGCCGGGACGCCCACCAGCTGGCCCCTGGGGGCCCCTCTGCACCGTTCAGACGGAGACCCGGGAACGCCCTCAAAGCACACAGCGACTTCCCCCGCGACCGCGCGCTGGCTTGGACTCAGACAGCCAACACTACTTCCAAGAACCGGCATTAGAGATTCTCACAGTTCTCATTTAAGATGGGCCGCGGTGCAGGTGGGGGTCAGTGGGAGGTCGGGGTGCAGGTGCCCGCGGTGGTGCTGGTGTGCGGGTCCCGGGCTGCAGTGGGGGCGCGGTTGAGGAATGACTGCGGAGGGGGAGCCTAGCTGTGCGGGAGGCGCTGGGTCTCCATCGGCGGGGGGCCTGCCCAGTGGGCGGGCTGCGAGCGGGCAGGTGGGCGGGGCCGCGGGGAGCGGTGGGGGAGGGGGCCTGCCGGGGCTGCCGTGCACCGAGCGGTGGGGGAGGGGGCCTGCCGGGGCTGCCGTGCACCGAGCGGTGGGGGAGGGGGCCTGCCGGGGCTGCCGTGCACCGAGCGGTGGGGGAGGGGGCCTGCCGGGGCTGCCGTGCACCGAGCGGTGGGGGAGGGGGCCTGCCGGGGCTGCCGTGCACCGAGCGGTGGGGGAGGGGGCCTGCCGGGGCTGCCGTGCACCGAGCGGTGGGGGAGGGGGCCTGCCGGGGCTGCCGTGCACCGAGCGGTGGGGGAGGGGGCCTGCCGGGGCTGCCGTGCACCGAGCGGTGGGGGAGGGGGCCTGCCGGGGCTGCCGTGCACCGAGCGGTGGGGGAGGGGCCTGCCGGGGCTGCCGTGCACCGAGCGGTGGGGGAGGGGGCCTGACGGGGCTGCCGTGCACCGAGCGGTGGGGGAGGGGCCTGCCGGGGGATCCCTGCCCTGGAGGCGTCAACTAAACCTCTTGGGATTAAACATAGAAATCATGACACATGAATTAGAAGCCGAGGGTTTGCGGGGCTGCACAGAGGGGGTGTAGGAGGGCAGGAGACGCGGCCGCCATTCCGGTGAGAATAAATGAGTAAAAGCATCTTATTTTATGATTGTACTTGTGGATTTATTTTTTTTTTTTTTCTGTCTCCATAACAGAATGTACTTGTGGCTTTAAAAAGGCCCCTTTACCTTCCTTAATGGCTGAATGCCCAGAGCACCTTTGGAAACCCCCTGGAGTCCTCTACTGAACTCTAGTGACCGCCGCTCTTGGCCCGTACCGGGCAAGGGATTTTCATTTTGTTCCACGACGTCTGTGATGGGGGGGGTGGCGGGGAAGCTGTTGCCAAATAGCCCACTTGAGAGCATCCTCTTCCCACTGAGCGGCAGCGATGCTGGGCACCCTCTCTTCCCCCGTGGACTGCTGATCTACTGCTGATCCCTGGCCAGGGTTCGGGTCCATGTAGAGTTGAGGTCAGGGCCCCCGCTCTCTCCAGCACACATCTCATCGCCAGCCACACGCGGGAGGCTGGAAGCCCCTGTTCAGGTCCCCAGTCGGGTCTGGTTCTGTAGCTGGCTCTCCAGAGACAGCTGCTCAGGCTGCCCGGGGACCTCTTTCTTCCCCATGGCAGAGGCCCGGAGACCATGCTCGGCAGGGGCTGGTGGGATGGGGGCGCAGCCCCAGCCACCAGCCCTGCTGGGTCCAGGGACTCTAGTGACATCATCGACCGGATGCGATGTGGAAAGAAGGACAGGGAGCAGATGGGTTCCTTTGAGGTCCCCTGGCTGTAGATCCCACATCCCCAGATGCCAAAGCCTTTTGCCTGGGAGGCTGGGTTTTCCTCACCGTCCGGGGGGGGGGGGGTTAGGTGGGTCATGTTAACACTCACACTGTGTTGTTGCCGCCGTGGGACCATTTTAAATCAGAGAAAGGGAGAGTACACGGGGCTGGGCTCGGCCTGGTGTTGTCCCAGGGCGCCCCACCCCTGCCCGCAGCCCCACCTGACCTTGACCCAGCCTCCAGCTCCACTCCCTAGCCTTCCTCCACCACCCGCCCTCTGTGGTCCCAGGTAGCAAGAATTTCCCTTAAACATTGCTTTGGTGCCTCCTTGAAAGGCTAAGCACTGGCTGACCTGTGGCTCTCTCATCGCCACCTGGACTAGCCCCCGAAATGGGTCTGTTTTCGATTTCTTCCTTGGTTCCCACTTTGGTTCCATCTGGACCTATTTTCCTGCGTCCTCAGCACAACAGATCTCAGCCCTTCCAGCCAGCAGCCCTCACTGACACCCACACACCTCCTCTCCCTCGCCCTGTGGGTCCCAGGCCCCCACCCCCTACCCCAACAGGCTCCAGACCACACACCTCCTCTCCCTCGCCCGGTGGGTCCCAGGCCCCCACCCCCCACCCCAACAGGTTCCAGACCACACACCTCCTCTCCCTTGCCCTGTGGGTCCCAGGCCCCCACCCATCCACCCCAACAGGCTCCAGACCACACACCTCCTCTCCCTTGCCCTGTGGGTCCCAGGCCCCCACCCCCCACCCCAACAGGTTCCAGACCACACACCTCCTCTCCCTCGCCCTGTGGGTCCCAGGCCCCCACCCATCCACCCCAACAGGCTCCAGACCACTTTATGCCCATTTCTTTGTCTATCAGCCAAAGGAGGTTGTTAGACTAGATGGTTCTCCGCTGCTGTGGGGAGTCTTTTTTCCTATAAGGACACCAAAGAGAAAGAAGAGCACACGGAGGAAGGAAGGCAGCCGGGGCAGAGAGAAATCACAGACACACCTGCGCTGCCCAGCAGGGGCCCCTCAGCAGGTCGCCCGGAGGGGCTTGAGGGGCCCACCCCGCAGGGATGCACCGCCCCTGTGGCCAGATCGCCCAGTCCTTGAAAGAAGCCAGAAATCTGGAACTCTGTAAAGAATCCTGTGAGCTGTGAATGTTGGCAACATTCTTTGCTTTTATTTTTCCTTCTTAATCTTGGATAGGGCAAACCATCCATTTGCAGCTTTCCTACTAAGAGATGTTTTCTGGGCTTTTACAACTAAGATTTTGTTTTATATATTTATACTGAAATACAGAAAATGCCAGGCAGAAGAAAGAGTGCTTATAAATTTCACCGCTAAAAATAACTATATAAAGTGAGAAGGGGAAGCAGTCCCAAGATCTCCAGTCTCTGGTCTGACCGGAGTCCGGATACCAAAGGGGAGCAGGGCCAGCGAGGGCTGACGTGATCCTCAGGGGCCAGACGTGCAGGGCCAAGCGGGCAGAGGTGGGGATTGAAGTAACGCTGAGATGTCTCCGGCGGAAGAAGCCGGGCAGTCAGGACCTCCGGCCCCCACAGCCGCGCTGCTGTGTGCTTGGCTCACTAC